AAGGATATATTATTATTACAATCTTATTAATAGAACTAATAAAAAGAATGAATCATTTAAATAAATAATAATATATTAATAAGTATTTAAAAAAATTAAGAAACTTATTAAATATATATCAATTTTAAAATTATATAATCTAGAATTATAAAATATTATATGAATAGATATATTAGAATATATGATTAAAGCAATTCTAAAATAGATTAATAATAGAGAAATGTATACTATTGCATTCTATTTAAAAAAATATATAAAAACTAAACTTAATTATAATATATATAATAGAGAATTATTAATAATCATCAAAATATTTCAATAATAGTAATATTATCTCCAAAAATCTAAATATAAAATTACTATAAAAATCAATTATAAGAATCTAAAATATTTTATAATAATTAAAGAATTATTAAAAAGATAAATATAATAATACAAAGAATTATTATAATATAAATATATAATCGAATATATATTAAAGAAATAAAATATCACTATAAATACATTAAACAAATAATTAGACTATATAATTAATATCAAAATATTAAAAATAAACATCTTAAAATAGAACTTAGAAGTACTATAATACAACCATAATACTATTTTAATAGTAGCTATCAAGATTAAAGAATCAGAATTCAAAAAATAACTAAAAAAAGAAATAAAAAATAATAAATAAATTCAATAGAAACTATATAATAGAATAATAATATCATAAGATAGACTAATAATATAGAATAGTATAATCAAAATATTATAGATAATAATTATAAAAATCATTAAATAGTACTATAATCTATTTAGCTAAAGATATTAAGAAATCAATAAAATAATTAAAATAATAAATCAATTATATTACTTCTTATATTTTAGAAAAAAGATTAAAAATTATATTAAATACTATAAAGACTGTAGTTAGAATAAATTATTAATATATAAATCTTATAGAAAGATATAGATATTTAAAATATTAAAAAAAATATAATAAAGTATTACTATTAATTTTATTTAAAGATTACTAGAATTAAAGAAATCTATCTTTAAAATAATCTATATTAATACTATAATAATTATTAATAGATTAATTAAATATATAATTCTATAACCAATATTAAAAAATATAACTATAAAATAATATACAAGCCTTATACTGTAAGAAGTATTTTTATAGACTGATTTACTAAAAGAAATTATTATAGATTAAGATAAATTATTTATAGCAAACTATTAGTAAACAATTATAAAAATATATAGAATAGAATATAAATTATTAATAATAAATTATTAATAAACTGATAATCAGTCTAAAAGAATGATTTAATTAATTAAATAATACTTATAGAACTACATAGATTGAGAATAAAATAATTGAGTATAAGTATTGTTAATAACATAATTTATAATAAATAACATAATAAATATAATTATAAAATAAATACTATATTTTATAAATCTTAAATATTATCTAAGAATAATATGATCTAATATATTAAGAGAAGAATTATTAGAGATAATAATAATATAAGCTAAGAATCTTTAAGTATTCTATTAAATAATCTTATAAAATATTAAATAGGTAGAGTAAAGAATGAAAATCTATTATAATAGAAAGTATAAAGATATATTAATCTTTAAAAAGAAAGAGAAAGTTTATTTTCTATAATAAATTATAGAATAAAAGAATTTTAATATTCTAAATAAGAGACTAAGTAATAAATTTAATATAGTTAAATATAGATCTTTTAAAATTAAGAAAAAACTTATTAATAATAATTATAAACTTTAATTATTAGTAAGAATAAAAATATATTCAATATTTTATATCTCATTATTAGAATTTATAAAAAATCTAAAAATAATAAAGATAAAGCTAATAATAATAAATTTAAAGTCAATTTTATCAAAAAATAGAAGATAAAATAGGAAAGAATCTTTTATTTAATTAGATAAATAGAATATAGATTTGATCATAATTTATAGGAACCAGTTAGACATTTAAATTACTTAGAAAAGATTTAAGCCTTCCATCATTAAGGAACTCAAAGAGCAAAAAGTCAAGAAAGTTATTTTTAAATAATTCAAAATAAGTCTAAAAGATAATAATAGTTATTTTATTAATTCACTATTCAGTCAATTTTTATTTTTTTTCTTATTTTCTTTCTTCTTCTTCTTTTTGCCTTTTCTCTTTCAATCTTTCTAGCTTAGTAATATCCTATATATCCCTTACTATAAAATCATTAGTATATTTCTAAAGAAGATTGTTCTACAGCTCTAAATAATAAAATTTCTTAAAGACCTCTTTCTTCTAGATATAAATTTAATTTTAAGCAGCTATAAGCTGCCATTATTCCTTATTAAAAAAAAAATTTTTAATTCAGTATATTTTTAATTTAAATAAGCGCATTTATTATAATAAAAAATCTTTCAACTATCATATAAGACTTATTTAAATTCATATAATAAATACAGAAAATAACTATCTTAAAATCCTTATCTTTCAAATAATTAATAAGTTTCAATTTCTAAATATAAAAAGATTTCTTTAAAAACATAATTAGACCATCACTATAAGTATAAAAAATTATAAAATAAAGACACTTACTTAAAAATATAGGTATAGCTAACTATTTATTATGTTATTAAGATGCCAGTCTTTAAAGAAAAGAATTATCATAAGAATCAATAAGTCATAGCTAATAAATATTATAGTAAACACTATTACATAAATATCTAACAAGATTTAAGCAATAATAAATAAAATTATTATTAAGTATAATTATATATTACAGAAATAATGCTAAAAATAGCTATATCTTCAGCTTAATTATAGCTATTAATATAGTAATATAATTATTATATATTAGTATCTTATTCTAGTATATATTAAATATATAACCTAATAAAGCAGGGCTTCAATATATAAAAATATAGCTTCTATATAATAAAATAATAATTCTAGATATTAAAATATAGCTTTAATATCCTTTAATATATATAGATACTCATTTATTATCATATATTTAGTTAATTATTTTTTATTTTTATCTTAAATAATATATTACTATTTAATATTCAATAAATCTTCTTACTATTATTATTATTCTTAATAGATAGTTATTAGATATTAATCTTATATTACTCTTTCATCTTGTGTTAGTAGAATATCCTCTAAGATCTCCAATCTTGAGACGAGTTGTTGACAACTTTTGACAATTCAGAGATAGATAATAGATAAATTCTTTAATAGATTTTATAAGATAAAATAATATAATAGTAGATATAATAGTTTTTTATCTATTAAATAATATATTAATATATTTTAAATTAATAATGTTCTTAAAATAGAAGCTTATAAATCTTAAAATATTCAAAGTATCTAGAGATAGACTTATTATAATAGAATTATAATAACTTAGCTTCTAGATTATTATTATTAAGTATATAGAGATAATTTTAATATAATAGATAATTATTCTTCTTCTTATAGTTTATTAGAGTTATTCTTAAATATTATAAAGCTTTTTCTTATAATATCTTTAGGCTGTCATTTGGTTCGGTTCTGGTCCCGAGTTTCTGTACCAAACCCAAAAGTGGGTTGGTTCAGTTTGGTCTTTAATATTAGAATTAGAACTAAAAATTAAATAGTTATAACTCTTTAAATTAAAACTAAATTATATTAAAAAAGAATTATTAATTATAATTAGATTAATTTAAATCTAATCTAATTTTTATTTAAATAACTAAACTATATTAAAAAATTTTTAATTATAATTAGATTTTATCTTTAAAAGTATATTAAAATCTCTCTAAATTTTAATAAATTAAATAGATAAATAATATAAAAATTAGAATTAATTATTTAAATTATAATTTTCTATCTAATTATTAAGATATATTAAAAAATAAATAAATAATAATAAATATTATAAAATAGATATAAAAAAATATATATATATTTTTTTTAATAGATAGATTAGCTATATAATATAATTTAAAAAATATAAATAAAAAACAGAAAAGATATTATTACTATTAAGATAATTCTTAAATAATAATTTAAATATTAAGAATTTATTATAATATTTATAAAAATATCTAAAATAAAGTTCTAACTTAAAAAATATAAATTTAATTTATAAAAAGTTACTTTAGAAATAATTATATAATTAATAATAATTATAAAAGATTAGAGTTAACTTTAAATATATTAATATTATTAATAGAAATCTATTAGTATTTATATATTTAGATAAAATTAAATTGAAAATCTAAACTGAATTAGATTTAAATAGATTTTAAAAAATTATATAGTTCTAGACTTAGTAAACTAAATTGCTTTGATTTACTGTATATAGGACTAGAACCGGACCATTCAGGTTTTAGATCGGTTTTGGTTCAGTCTGAACTGAACCAAATGACAGCCTAGTTTAATTTAATATAGTTTCTTTTACTATTTAGTAATAATATTATTAATATATTTATAGATTGATTAATAATAATTAAATTATTTAGTTAGATATTTTAATATATAAATAAAGAATTCTTTTAGATTCTCTATTTAACGTTGTGTTGGTGAATGAGAAGCCGAAAACGGCTACACTTGACGCCGTTTTTGACGTCCCACTCACCGCCAAGACCGCATCACGTGCATCATTATTTCCTACCACGCTCCCGCCTCTTCTCACCACGCACCATTTCCCTTGCCGTTTTATGATCCCGTGACCATCCTTCCGGACCCACCAGTTCTATCGCAGCGTCACGCCGACACTCAATTGATCCTGGGCCCAGGCCACGATTTTATGAGGGCATGAAATGGACGATGGCACTCCACAGCGGCTACGGGCTGCTCCCTGCACCCGTCAGTGGGGCGTGTACACCCCGTCCCTCCGTACCATCTCTTCTCTTCTGGCCCTTAAATTCCGACTGCTTCCCCCTCCCTCTTCTCTGGGGCCTTGGGTTCCCTCCTGTGTGGCCCTACCCCAGTTGATGCAATGTCCAGGATGGCTCTCCCTCAAGGCGCTGACGTTGTCATAACCCTCTCCGATGATGAGAGCATCGCTAGCGCCGACTCTTCCAGCATTTTCTCTACTGATTCCTCAGACGATTCTTCGGACAGCAGTGTATCGGACAACGAATCCGACAGCGACAGTGATGACTCGGACGACGACGACGACGACGACGAGGAGGAGGAGGAGGACGAGGGTGAACTCTCTCGGGAAGAATACTTGGCCAAAGCGGAGCAGCTCGATTTGTCTCAGCTTCGACAGAAGCGGTACAGTGACGGTACTCAGGACAAACTGGACGAGACCCGCCAGTATTGGGATAGGTAGCCCGTTCTCCGACTTATTGGGCCGTGTCACAAAGCTCACTGACGACCTTCTGGCAGGTTCTGTCGTCGTATTGGTGTTGACCCTGCGCGGCAGTGGCAATGGATTTCGGACTCAGATGAAACAGTGCGTTTCTTGTACGCCTTCTTCGGCTGGCGGTGTGACATCCGCCGAGGCAAAAACGGTCGACACTGCCCTGGTATTAAGCGCAAGAGCTCACTGGAATCATTCTGGAAATGGTGGCATCTGGTTCTGAAGCAAGAGAGTGAGACTCTGTCGGGACTGAGCAAGGACATCATGATTAAAGTCGACGATGTGAGTATATAGGATATTTCTCACTACCAGCTGGATGGTACAGCCACTGATGGTTGACAGATCCTTGCGTTGGTAGCCGAGGAGAAACACTTGGACTGCACCAGGCGGCTCAAAAAGAATATGTACATTGAAGATGTCGCCGAGTTCGCCTCTGTCGTCCTGTCCACTACAGAGATGACCTTTCAATGTGGCTGGCAGCGAATCCAACTTCTTCTCTTCACTCAACTCGCCGCGTACACGGCAAGTCGTCCCGCGGCCCTCCTACACCTTCGCTATCAGAATCTGGGACTCAAGTTCATCCGTGATCCGGAAGGAGGACGCCCGAAGCTGATTATCTTTTTAAAACCGGAGTTTACCAAGAGATTTCTGGGAACCAAAGCTCCGTAGGTGTCTGGGTCTTCCGGGGCAGTGGTCATGTTTGTTCGCTAATTGAATAGGAACGAGTACAAGATTCCTGAAATCATCTTCGATCCCAGCCTGGTCCTTAGTCCGCATGTCTGCCTGCTCAGTATGCTCTTTCACATCAAGGGCTTCAAACGGCTTTCCAAGACTGGTCCAGTGCTGGATTGTGCAGAGAAACTCTATAGCCTCCGTGTTCTGGATGGCTTAGGTGAACAGCCATTGCTACTTAACACACTTTTAGATGATAAATATGTGTTCTGTCAGGTCGACCGGGAAACAACTGGATGTCGAATCGCCCTGGACAAGAGAATGACAGCGTCGATGGTACGATCTCAAATGCGTCTAGCCGGCCAGATCACCGGTTTTGATCAGGTGATCAAGCCCTATCTTCTTCGATATGCAGGAGCCAAAGCTTTTAATAGCAGCAGTCAGTACTTCTCTTTCTTGTGCGGCAGGTAAGCTAATCTAGCGGATAGAGGAGATTACGGACGCCCTCCAAAACGTTATGCTACAGCACTCTGATATTCGCACATTCATCCGACACTACGAGGTGGATGTTGATGTTGACGCCCAGGGTATTGTCCGGAAGACGGGTTCTCAAACCCCGTTGGTCCGATTTGCTTGCTCACTGAGCGCATCGATCGACCCAAATCGTCCGTATCGGCTGTCTACCGAAGAGGCACGGTCCCTCAATGAGCTCCCTGCGATTTGCACACGGCAAGATACCGTCATCAGATGGAAACAAAAGTGGGAGAACCGCAAAGCCAAGTTAGAACGTCTCAGTATAGCGTGTCAAGCCAAAGGCACTCCACTCCCAAAACGCTATCGGAAGCTACAGGCAAAGTTGGACCTTGCTCAGGATCAGGTGCTGGAAGCAAAGCGGAGGTATAACAAAGCGGTTCGTGCACTGAAGAACGAGAAGCAACGACAGAAAAATCGACGGATTCGAGAAAACCTAAAACGCTATCGGGAAGAACAACCCGTGATCGACGTGGAATGTCAACTGGCAGGAATGATGATTGGCACGAAGGTCCGGGAGACCTTGGAGCATCAAAACGCCATGTCCGCGCAGCATCTGAGATTGATTGAGCGCATGATGACCGTACCTGGGAAAACTCTGGAAGCCGAGTACCAGCGGCGGATTCAAGCCATTGATGCGGGTACTGCGTATTGCGGTGTGGAAGAAGGCAGGCCCACGCGTCGAACCATCCAACCTCGCCGACCTCCACCGGATGATGAGGAGAGCTCCGGTCCTGTTGCTAAACGACCACGGTGCTCGGTGGAAGAAAAGACCGATAATGCTCTAAGCCGTGCGATTAAGTCGGTGATTATCACGGAGAAAAGCCAAAGACCGGTCGTTTGTTTTCTTTGCGTTGGAAATCCGCAGCTACCCATGACGGAGCGAATCAAGGAGTACAAGAACTCCGGATCTCTCACCCGACACTTTCTGCGAAAGCATGCCAAACCCGCTTGGACCAAGATGATTCGATGCAATGTGTGTAACACTGACCTGGAACACAAGATGGCTCTTATGAGCCACGCTGAATTGAAGCATGGAACTGTGTCCCGATCCTCCCCTTCAGCACTTGGACTATAGAATTATGTACGCGTCGCCTGTTCCAGTATACAGCATATAGAAGACTTCTTTGTTCTGTTTAATCTTTTCTTATTTATCATTCAGCTTAATTCTGGTTTTCATTGTATCTTTCTCTAAATGTTGACCTATGAAGGAGCATGGCTGGTCCGCCTCTAATTATTTTTTGTTTTCGCTTTTTGCAAAGTTGAAGAATGCCAATCCATATTTTTCGTCATTTGCTGTACTGCCAACTATTCGAGGTTCGATCATATGCATATACATATATAAGCAGTCTATCTACCCCTCCTATAATAGTTCAACACAACTCACTGTCACCTTTAACAAGAGGGTCCGTCCGGACTTGCGTTAGCTGATATTCAAGGAACAACGTATGGGGAGGAATAGCGTACGGAGAGGAATAGCGTACGAGGAGGAATAGCGTACGGAGAGGAATGGCGTATGGGGAGGAATAGCGTACGGGGAGGAGTAGCGTACGGAGAGGAATGGCGTATGAGGAGGAATAGCGTACGGGGAGGAATAGCGTACGGGGAGGAATAGCGTACGGAGAGGAATAGCGTACGGAGAGGAATAGCGTATGGGGAGGAATAGCGTATGGGGAGGAATGGCGTATGGGGAGGAATAGCGTATGGGGAGGAATGGCGTATGGGGAGGAATAGCGTACGGGGAGGAGTAGCGTACGGAGAGGAATGGCGTATGAGGAGGAATAGCGTACGGGGAGGAATAGCGTACGGAGAGGAATAGCGTATGGGGAGGAATGGCGTATGGGGAGGAATAGCGTACGGAGAGGAATAACGTACGGAGAGGAATAACCTGATGGCCCCGTTCCCAGGGCCAATGCATGATTGGCTAGATGATTATCCTGAAACACTGATATTTGCCCCATATTATTTTGTGGGTCTTCAAACTCTCGTTGATCTCTAAGAAGCCTCTGGGCTGGCTAAAGTTTAATGTTTACTTTATTTATCTAGAATGTTCTAGCGTGATCACAGCCCCAGCCAATGTCTCACAAGACGATCTTGACGGGAGGATGAGCAACACAGAAGACTCATACCGGCCACAGCGCTCCATAGCAACACAAAATTGCCAGCCTGTGATACATTGCTAGACAAGATACTGTACTAATAACAGACTTGGAACCCACACAGAAAAATTAATAGAATAACTATTCTAAGCTCACATTCTCCAGAGTGGTACAAGATGGATGACAGGACGACGTGGAAATATTTTCCAACCAATTCAAGCGATTAGTGACAATGAGCCAGACAGCTTGGGAAATATAGAGTCTTGTAAGCCAGGGAAGGCTGTGCTGGTGCGAATATGACGGACACTGGGTTAGGCTAGTTAGCACAAGCTGCCACGCAGCATATGCTAGCATAATTCACGTGCTAATTACTCTATGCAATACGGCACAGCTCAATCCCAACGTACTGATAGGCTTAGCATTTATAGTACAACCGGTATATAATAAGGATTTCTTCTTATGCCATTTACTGGCTTGTCTCTACTTCCTTAGACCAGGAGCAGGCTCAGGCCTTTCAACCTGTAACGGTAACATGCTCATCTCGCTGTGAGAGACGAGGTTCACAGCACAGATCATTTCTAAGCCTAGGATATCCCATCCATGCCTCGCCCAAAGCTCTTCACTTTCAATTCTTAGTTACGATTTTTGAGACGGCACCTTGAAACTAGAATTAGCTAAGATCTAAAATACTAGTTCCTTTAGCAAAGCACATTAGGAATCGGAATGGACAAAGTGCGGGTGAGGAGACTATAGAATGAACTGATGCTGCAGGATTGCTGCAAGTGCAGGATTATGGCAGGTGCAGAATTATGGCAGGTGCAGAATTATGGCAGGTGCAGAATTATTGCAGTGGCAGGATTGTTGCACGTGCAAGATTATGGCAAGTGCAGGATTATGGCAGGTGCAGGATTACGGCAGGTGCAGGATTACGGCAGGCGCAAGATTACGGCAGGCGCAAGTATACGGCAGGTGCAAGATTACGGCAGGTGCAAGATTACGGCAGGTGCAGGATTACGGCAGATGCAGGATTAGTTAGCCCGAGGGATCACCCTGCCACGAGGCCTAACTCTAGGTGAGTTCTCTGAGTTGGGTCCAAGCCAATGAGTGTGAGCCTCCCAGATCAGGGGATCGCAGTGTACTTTTGGCATGGACTAGATATCTTAAACTTGTAAATAATTTGTATTATGGATCATATATGTTGAAGTGAGATGAGTCTCTCCTGTGACAGCCAGTGGCTTGTCGGGAGGGACAGGTGAGTATGATTCACGTGTCGCGAGAGATATCCGGAGCTTTTGAGACAGCTGTATTAAGCTCCCTGGTCCCTGCGGTCTCCCTGGTCCCTGCGGCCTCCCTGGTCCCTAAGGACTCTCTGGTCCCTAAGGACTCTCTGGTCCCTAAGGACTCTCTGGTCCCTAAGGACTCTCTGGTCCCTGCGGTCTCCCTGGTCCCTGCGGCCTCCCTGGTCCCTGCGGCCTCCCTGGTCCCTGCGGCCTCCCTGGTCCCTGCGGCCTCCCTGGTCCCTAAGGACTCTCTGGTCCCTAAGGACTCCCTGGTCCCTGCGGTCTCCCTGGTCCCTGCGGTCTCCCTGGTCCCTGCGGCCTCCCTGGTCCCTGCGGTCTCCCTGGTCCCTGTGGTCTCCCTGGTCCCTGCGGCCTCCCTGGTCCCTGCGGCCTCCTTGGACAAAATCTGAGCTGTGTCACGTAAATGCATGGGGATGTCTAATTGGTTAGAGGTTCATCCCGCCAGGGTTTGGTTCCACGCCATTCTGTGGGTCTCCTTGGAGATCTCCAACGAGCCCCGCGGTCGGCGGTTCGCTAATCTGATGTTTGGATGGAAGGGGTTCGGGAGGTCAACCCGCGGGGTCGAAGCCCTGTGTAGGGTTGAACCCGACCGCAGGCTAGCCCGCGGGGGTTAGACCACGGGTGGTTTTAAAACTACGGTGCTGACCCCAGGGCGAAAGTACACCCAGAGCGGGTAAAACCCTCCAGCAGGCCCGACCCGCCCAGTCTACACCAGGACCAGGCCTAGCCCCACCGGTTTACTCCGTTGCCAGTTTAACCACCACAGATGTTCCAATCACAGAAGGGTGCAGCTGCACGGAGCGTATTTGCACTGGAAGGGTGCAGCTGCACCAAGTGTATCTGCACTTGAACAGTGCATCTGCACCGGAAGGGTGTATCTGCACTGAGTGTATCTGCACTTGAACAGCGCATCTGCACCGGAAGGGTGTATCTGCACTGAGTGTATTTGCACTTGAAGAGTGCATTTGCATCGGGAGAGGGTGGGGTTCTTGGGTTGATCTGCGCACATTGAATCCTCGAAGCTAAAACATGGGTCTACTCCTCTACAGTGTCAGGCACCGTGGGTCTAAACCCATTCACGGCTAGGTCCTGTCGATGTAGTTTATCCATAGTGAATACACAGCCGACAATGAGTTGACGCAGGAGGTAAGCGGGTTGGACGTTAGAGAGTGTTGCTGTCAACGCACGAATTTATTGTCTGGTAGAGTCACTTCACAAGTAGTGGCTCATTTTGCCTATTCTGAAACATATGTGAGTCAATGGCGCCAATCCGGGGCATCGTATTGGTCACCACTACTTACACAGCAGCTGCACCATGTTCTCCGGTGGAACTCATCTAACTCATTGGCTGGCTTTATTTGTGCTAAATTTAGACTTTTCAAGCGTGATTGTGGCCTTATTGTTATCGTACCCCTCTATTAAGGAGCCTCGTTGTTATCGAATCAATTCGCCTGCGGGCGGCAGTAAAACCGCTATGTCAATATTGAACTTGTTCAATGTCCAAAGCTCATATCCTATCAGTGGGATGGTAAAACTTGTTGAGATATGCTAAAGCCATATAATCACCATGTCTAAATAGCAAATTGATTACGTACTAGTTTTCGTTGGGACACATCCCCGCACTATTAGCTAAAATGAGCATAGCCTATGCCGTCAGCATACGACAAAGACGATGATACCTCATCATCAAGGCTCGTTCCACAAAATATAACGGTATATTTTTTGTTCCACTGTGAACATCACCAAACCAAGTTATTAGGCCCTCACCGAAATCTTCCATCAGCATACCATTATATCCTCTATCAAACACTTATCACAGGCAGAGACCTGAAATTGTCATTGAGAATAGATTTGATTTATGCCCAATATCTAAGAATATCATTACTTTAAATAATTGAAGGTTAAACAATATTCTTTCTCCACAAATATGTCAGCAACAGGCTCGGAGCATAGATCATCAATACTTATTAAATACAGTGCTAATTAGTAGATATTCCTCAAGTCTGTTATTACGATTGCCCGTGGTTGATAGAACCGTCTGTCAGCATCTGTAAAGAATGATGTGTATGTAAAGCTTATACAGTATGCTATAGTCAGCAACGAAGATAGCTGACTCAATTGTTGATTCATCACTACCAACATATTCTATTTTTATATTTTGCTCTATAGCGTATGATGATGATGAGTACGTAGCCAGATGGAATGCCCACGGCAAGTTGATTACGTACATATTGCTGTAAAGCGTTCTCTATTTTTAGCCAATTCCATTATTGTAGTCAGCATTTGTTAAAAAGGAGTATAAGAACGTTAGAAAGTTATGAACAGATTTATCCCTCTGCAAACTATGTATAGTCAACAAATACTTAGGGGAAATATGACTCATACATGAGACTACCTCAAATTTTGACTCATTACTACATTATCTAACCGGTTATTTTTATATTTTGCTTTAGAGCGTATGACGATGATGGTGATGAATATGTAGCCACGTAAGTGGAATTTCCATAGCAAATTGATTATGTACACATTATGCAGAGTCAACATTTGCCAAGTAATAGAATAATGATATTAAGATTGGAGACAGCTTCACCCATGCGACATCCTATTTTAGGAACAGCTCGATACTATAACTGCATTAATATACTACCAAATTCATAATCTTGTTATAATAGACATCTCCTAACTAGCCTAAGATACCAAAGTATAGGTTTAAGCCAATGAGCACTTAGAGAATACTTATATAGTATGTATCACCCACTCAATACATCACCATAGAATCCTTCAGATTTTCTCCATTACTGGCAGGGGGTAGAGGTCGCTCTAGTACTGTACAGTCAGGATTACTAGTAACTAATGTATGTGACAGAGGAGCCTACAAGACTTTGATGAGGCGGTGGCCATTGGCCTGTTGAATCTGAATTTAAACAATGAATCTGGCCGGTCTTTCGATTTCGAGTCATCAAATACAAATCAGAGTCACATTCGACGCTGAATTTTCTTGCCTTTTTGAAAAGCGTCTCTCTGAGTCGGAGTCTTTGCTGGCTTTTTAAGCGCAAGTGTGCAGACTGAGTTTTACCTGGACGCTGAGAAGGTGGAGAGGGTGGAGACATCACGATCGAGTTGAAACGGACAATTGGTTCTATAAAAGAGTGTGTGGCAGTCTAGAACATTTAAATTATAAATTGTTATTAAGAGGCAGTTGTCTTTTGAGAAAGTAAGCAGATCATCAAACCTGATTACATCGACCCTTGACGATAATGATGATGGTGACGATTGAAGGGCACCACCAGGCTGACGTGTTGAATGGAATTAATTTAGGGCAATGAGTCAAATATATTCATCTGAAATTTGTTGATGAGGCCCGTGTCGTATAAAATCGTACCTGACTTTGCTTTGATTCGTCAGGCTTTTCGCCGCTGTAGACTGCCTATAGCCCTCTAGATAGTGCTCTCTAATGACGTTTGTCAAGATAGCTAAGCCTGCGTATACGTATAAAATCCTATAATAGAAACCCGCCCGACACTGTACCCAAGAGCAAGGTTGGCTTCCCTAACTGCTAAAACTATAACTTGACGATGCTCAGTTTCCGCCCGCCAAGGCAACCCAGCTGTCTGATGAAGACGCTTGAAAATTGAAATAAGGTGAAGTCGAGTCACAGGATATCTGGTTATGTATGGAATGTGTGTCCCAGCAATACATAGCCAAAGCGGGGTTGTGACCGAAAGAGACTAAATCATGTTTATTACAAGGTAGGAAGAGGATCAAGGAGTATGGAGTTTTAGTTACTGTACAGCGACAAGTTTAGTCAGGTTATACTGTAAATCATATGTCAGTGTTCAGTCTAGACAAAAGACAAAAATATAATGGCAAATCATCGTCTTCGGAAGAAATTCATGAGGACTCGCCGTTTGCGGCCCACAGGTTGTGAATCTGATGTAATATAATCACCGGCATAAGTGTGGATCGAGCGTAGGGTAGCAGTGTCTGCTGAAGATTTTTGATTCTGTCTTTCTGAGAGCTGGTTCGCTGCTGTTTCCCAATTACTAAGGGCATTGAATGAGGATATAGCGTACGGGTGATTTGAGCCTAATACTTTGTTGTGGAGGTCTGCACATTTCTTGACTAAACTCAAGGCATCTGAGATCTTCCCCAGTTGTTTAAGAGTGAAGGCAAGATTGTGCATGCTTGTCAGAGTATATGGATGCTCAGGACCAAGCGCCTTCTCATAACCTTTAAGTGCCTGTCGGTGCATGGCCTCGGCCTCCTCATACTTGCCCTGATCAGCAAGTACTGATCCTAGCTGGCTGACACTGGTAAGAGTATCTGGATGCTCAGGACCAAGCACTTTCTCTGATCCTATCAGATCCCGTCGGTGCATAGCCTCGGCCTCCTCATATTTGCCCTGATCAGCAAGTACTGATCCTAGCAGGCTGACACTGTCAAGAGTATGTGGATGCTCAGAACCAAGCATCTTCTCATAACCTTTGAGTGCCTGTCGGTGCATGGCCTCGGCCTCTTTATACTTGCCCTGATCAGCAAGTACTGATCCTAGCTTGCTGACACTGGTAAGAGTATCTGGATGCTCAGGACCAAGCACTTTCTCTGATCCTATTAGATCCCGTCGGTGCATGGCCTCAGCCTCCTTATACTTGCCCAGCTGTGCAAGTACTGATCCTAGCTTGCTGACACTGGTAAGAGTATCTGGATGCTCAGAACCAAGCACCTTCTCACGACCTTTGAGTGTCTGTTGGTGCATGGCCTCGGCCTCCTCATATTTACCCAGCTGTGCAAGTACTGATCCTAGCTGGCTGACACTGGTAAGAGTATCTGGATGCTCCAGTCCCCAAACTCTTTCTCGGATTTTCAGGACATTTTGAAACAGAGTTTCTGCCTCCATATATCTTCCATCACTTTCCAGGCAGCTTCCTATTCGTGCAAGAAAATCATCGTGACTGGCCTGGTGATCCTGGAATTCTGTGCTGTTCACCAGATACAGTGCATGCGGTAGGTAGTTCCTCCATATTGATCGATTGCCATGGTTGTTATCTGGAAAAATCCTGTCTAACTGTTCGGCGGCTGTCTCTACCCAAGTCTCAAATGTCTTTTTCTTTCTTAACCAATTTCGAGTAGCAAGGTGCACAAGTCGATGAAGACTGAGAACACTGTCATCAACCTGTGCACTGATGAAGGAATATGATTTAAGAAGACCTAATGCTTCTAGTTTTCTTTTTGCTGATGTTGTCGATGGAAGAATTGACTCTGGTATATCCCGTGGGCTAATACAAGCCATGAACGACAAAAGATCGCTTGCTATTTCATCCACTTGCTGGATTTGCAAGAAGGAAACCAGCCAGGTTGTGGCCACCGGGTTCTGACTCTCTGCGTAGCGTCCATCATCCTCAAAATCCTCGCTGAGTAGTTCTATTGTGCTCCCCTCTTGCTCATTCAGCAATGACATATACCTCACTAAGGAAATATCAGTTTGATTGATGTAAGCCGCGGCTTGGCTGATTGCCAGAGGGAGAAAAGCAAGCTGCTCAAGAAGCGCGCTTGTCACACGATCATCGTGGAATAAATCGTTCCGGATTAATAGTTTCCTGAGTATCTCCTTGGCAGTCCTTTGATCCACATTAAGAACAGAAAGCACATTCATCGATGCCAGCTTTAATGCAAGCTGTCGGTTGCGGGATGTAAAGAGTACATGGCCAGTCTCACTCCAAGGGATAATATCCTTAAGTGGTGGCGTTGGAGGGTTACCCTTAATCCACATATCCATTTCATCGGCATTGTCGAAGATCAGAATCCATTTCTCTTTCGTTTGGCTGAAATAAGTCCTGAGGCGCTCTTTCACCTCTGCTGGCTCTACATTATGGAGCCCCACCATTTGTGCAATACTCATATAAGCCTGTTCAACAGCCTCGTAGCTGGTGCACGGGATCCAGAAGATCGAACATTCGGGCTCTCTGTCTCGCATGCGGTAAGCTAGCTCCAGAGCGATTTGAGTCTTCCCTACACCTCCCAATCCGGTAATGGCGAGCTTTTTTGCCCCATCGGGCATGGAGATTAAATCCTCCAATTTCTGGATTTCGTCTTGGCGACCCACGAAGCGGGGATTTCTCCCAAAAGGAATCATGAAGTGACGATCTTTGCTCGCATCTATCAAGGATAATCAGATACTTGACATTACAAACCTCCTGCCGGACAGTCCACCAACCTTTGTGGTTTGCAGGCATCCAGTACTCCAAGAATGCCTTTGCCACCGAGGCTCCAGTCGCTGCTGCGTATGTCTGCCACAACTTGCTCTTGTGACTATCGGCATAGTCACACACACCCTTAATGATGATACACGGAAGATTGTCCCATACCCCTGCCCCCTCCATCTCAAAACCGATGACCTTCTCTTTTCTGACAAGTTCATCACGATGCTGACCAGATTTCATCACTGTGTCGGCAGAAGCAACTGTTCCAATATATATCGAGGTCCGGATATCTTCCGAGATCTCGCGACATCGAACTTGTTGGCCTTTATCGCAATCAAGGTTGTCACAGTCCGTCCCTAATGCCTCCTCACAAATTTGATCAGGCGAGTCACTCCTAAAACAGGAGCATCCAGCAAGAGAAGCATGATCGGAATGCTTATGGAGATAAGAGGCCTGGAAAAGTATATCGTTAATCCTTGGATGACGCCACTTGGTCCCTGTTCGTTGAAGGGTGTGAAGATACTGTTGCGCCTGATTCTGAAGTTCACTGCGGGCATTCTCCGCACGAAGGCCATTTAGAAGGGTGCGAATTTCTCGACTTGGCCTGCCTAGCGTGTCTTTGAGACCAGTCTTCCGCTGAAACCCACCAGGGTATTGTCTGCCAAAGTCATATTCAATCACAGAATCACTGATGATAACATCGCCTAGGAATATCTCTTGGTACTCCGGTGGGGGAGGGGCACCCCCGCAGATACCAACGATCAAAGCAAGCTCGATTCCCGTGTAGCTGACTTGCAGACTAGAGGCAACACTTGCTGCATTTCCCTTGCCCATTCCAGGCATGTAGCACAGGACCACATTGTGCTTACCAATCCTTCCATTTATATATGCATTCACATCGCCTCGTTGTTTGCCGTAATGCTTTCCAAGCCGATCATAGGTTTCATCGAAAAGGGCTTCGACAGCTTCCGCTTCAAGAGGAAGGGCGCAGATAATCGCGATCGTAAAATCATTGCGGCTTTTCGGGCGCATTTCGCAGCACAAGGTAACAGCGGTGGTAAAACAGAGGTTTAGGTAGATTTCACCGTCAAATCCGCGATAACAACGCCTGAAAATAGAGGATAAGCAGAGCTGAAGTCCTGGGAGAGCTGAGGCCGATTTAGTGTTCGCAGCCTCACGCTTGTACACCCAACCACGGGCCTGTAATAGCCGCCCGGAGGAGGAGTAGCGCGAATACTAGCATCACATCGTTCTACTGAATGAAACAGTAATAGATGAATCTATAGCCCTTCTCGAATGATATGATCAGGTGAGTAGGAAATCCGTATAGCCTAACTCAAGTCAGACCAGCGGAGATCCTGTTCAAATGCAAACCAAGCAAACGCGGGGAACTAACAACATCCCTTGATTTCCATATTAACGCGGGACGATAATTTCCCGAAAGCCGTTCTGAAAGTAGATTAGTGCATTCCTGGCTTAGGGTTACGATAACAATCAAAGAGTATGAGTGGTGACAGCAGTATCTAGAAACACCGTCAGAAATGGGCTCATGTATAATAGAGACACAAGGATAGCTACTTCTACAGTATCACCAGTGACATACTACACTACAGCTGCCACTAACCCCTCCCAATAATGGAGACAATCTGAAGGAATCAAATTATGCTTTAGTAGTTTCCTGCTTCGCTATTGCCATGCTCTCTTTCTTTAAGGACTTGACTGTTTGAACGTCTGGATCTAACCCTGGAAGCCGCCAAAGAGGAACCCGACTTCATTTGGCGTAAGTGTCCTCTGGAGGTGCTTCTTCTGGGGGTTATTCGTCTGGGAGTGCTTCGCCTGGAGGGGCTTCTTCTGGAGGGGCTTCTTCTGGAGGGACTTCTTCTGGAGGGACTTCTTCTGGAGGGACTTCTTCTGGAGGGACTTCTTCTGGAGGGACTTCTTCTGGGGCTTCTTCAACAGCAGGGGAACGGATTCGATTTCTTTTCCTCCCTTTTCTCTTCTTCGCCGTGAATGGCCCCCAGTCATCTGCTTCCCGTTGATTTTCGGCTTCTCTTTGCCTCTCTGCCTCCTTCGCCTGCTCTATCTCTATGTCATTCTCGATACAGTCACCTCCTTCAATCTCTTCTGGGCGAGCCACCGATGTAGAACCGGTTATGGAATCGTAATGTGGACGAATTTTCACCGGTCGTTCGTCAATACATCGACGCACCTCAGTTCTCAGCTTTGCAACGACCGCATTCAACGCGTCCTCCCGTATCTTTGCAGCTTTGAGATCTTGGATGGTAAGATCTGGTGCTCGCCAGTGAGTATATATCTTGTTGTGGCATCCGGATATGGAATATCTTTCGGGAAGGGAGTTGATATAATGGTAACAACAGAAACAAGCTGGTTTACTACAACCAATATATTTATCACCAGCAACAAATTCCCAACCATTGGAGCGAGATTTTTCAATTAAAAGCAGCTCCGCATGGACTCGAGTTTTAAAAGTGCAGGCTCTGCTCAGTTGTTCATGAAGGTTCCCAAAGATGTTGAGCCTCTCGAGGTCTCTGCGAACTTCGGTCGATGTAAACTCTGGGAACATCCGATGCACAACCCCGTCAAGAGTTGACGCCTTGGGGTTCAGGGGAGATGGCAGATGCCGAGAAGACTCACAAATACGGAGCTGGCAGTTTTCAAGCAATTGTGGAATGTCCAATGCAACATCAAGCAAAGTCTGGATACTTTTTTGGTATATCGCAAGGCGGCCAATGAAATGCTTGGTTCGAGTAACCGGCTGATGCTGATCGGTTTCTCTTCTGGAGAGTCCCGAGAGTGTGGGAAAATGAATTCGACACTTCATGCAAACACTCATGATTTCTTTGACAGAACTATTCTCGAAAGAGAGTTTTGAGATCAGTGACTGAAGGTCTTCTAACCACTCAATGGCTGTCAGCAGTTCAGGGTCACTATTAGGCTTTAGAGAAGCTTCAGTTGGAAGTCAGCATGTTTACCAAAGAATAGTGATTCATCGCGTAAGAAAGAGCGGGCAAGAAACCTTCAGAAAGGCGAGTCTTGCTCAAACATCTTGGCAACTCGCGAGACAGCTCTTTCCGGTAATAAACCAACCTTGACCGACAGAATTCAACCACGCGATCAGAAACTTCCTCCGTCACTAGTGCTCTCTTATGAGGTGTAACTTTCCCTAGAGCACTGATAATTCTCTGCAGGTATTGTGCGGTTCGAGTTGTTGGTTTTTCATTGGCGGCAAGCCAGATGACGGTGTTCAAGGGGGTTGCTTGCAAAGCTACAGCAGTAACAGTGTCACCCCCTTTACGAGAGTCACAGATGGTCGCAATCGCGTCGACGAAGGATCTTCTCAATTGGTCGAGCGTATCGTCAGTACCGCGCAACGAGTTGTTGAAGTGGCAGCCGCGGACTGGATCGAGAATACTGAGAAGAACCAGGGGTTCGTAAAATCGACGTTCGAGACGCGGGTATCGATATAAGATTCTTTCAGCCGTAAGCGTCGAGTGACTCTTTGATGGTGTTGATTGTTCGGCCGGTGGGGAACAGGGTATAATTGCAGTTGGGTTTCCGATTTTATTCTTACCCTGTGCCTTGACCGTCGACCGACGTGATTTTCTCTTTCGTTTTGACATCTTTGATCATTTTCTGTGGCTTTGGCGATAATTTGGGGCATTTCATAGATTGAAGTAGCTCTGACTATCTTGTCATCATTCCCATGCAAAAAGAAAAATTCTCGTTGTTGCAAAAATCGATGACGCGTAGACCTCGGATTCAAAACCCAGAAAGACGAATCTCGGCATTATTAATGATCATTTGTTATCCTTCTCTTTTCAGACGGCGAAAGTAAGACAGTTTCGACTATGACGTTGAAAAAGGATATGCACCTCCAGAGGTTTGAGTGGAATCGTACCGGATGGGAATGTAAGAGGACATCGTCTTCCAATTGAATCGTTTCACGTTGCATTAGTTCCAGTTGAAAAGCTCTTGAATTGATATGACGAGAACCGATACAGTACAACTTCTGCGATCCTTTGCGAGCTCCACCTTTCACTTTATTGCATCCGTAACAATTCCCAGGACCTGGTGTTGATTTATCCCAGTGATGGATGGAGGGTTGGACGTCAAGTCCCAGCCCAAAGCGACCAGGGTGCATGCGACGGCATGCAGAAAGCCTCTGCGGGTGACGTGTGCGGTAATCCGAGGAGCTATGTGCGGTAAGAAAATAGAGTTCCCGCCAATATCCTAGGTGAACTGGCGGGCACTGGGCCATGTCCGGATTATCTCGACTTGTGAAAGGTGGGAAGTTGATTACATTTAAGCCTTCATCAGGTAACGCGGGCCTAGACCATCTCGGTATCCTTAGTTATTCAGACTAGTGGTGAGTCAAATTCCTTAGTTGACATCCTTGATCCTGAGCTGGCTATCGTGATCGGGTGACATGTATTGTGGGGTCTCTGATTGACGGATGACAAACGCTCAATGACGTGAAGACACACCGTTGAATATCCCGGTGGCTGAAACAGCAAGACCCCTGAGGGATAGACAAGGTACATATATGGGACAGTCTGTCTGGTAAATATTCTGGGGCATCGTGCCAGTGCCCGCCAGTCCACCTGGGATATTGGCGTGAACTCGTCCTCGGGGGATACGGTGGACCGTCCACGTAAATCTATGACTCACATTTAGGCAACAGGATGTGGCTTCCGTTTTAACTGACTATTCAACTGGCATGATACCAGTATGTTTGCCCATAAAGTTGTTGAATACTTGCTCAATGTTAGGGCCTGTCTATCCTAATTTCCCACTAAACTCTCTGCAGTGATGATTACAATGGACTATGTAGAGAAACCACTTAGCTCGATCATGATCGCAATAAATGAGTTTCTCTCGATTCTACGTTAGAAGCTGGATGGCGTATGAGGCGTTTCAATAATGTCATCGCGGGCCTCAACAAATACTCCACCTAATTATTATATTTGGCCAATCACCTAGGATGTGCCTGTGGTCAAGAGGAAGGATTGTAGGCAATTTTTTGAACACACCCTCTATAAAAATTATAGAGAAGAACGAATCAAGAAGATTGCCTTTAGTCTGATCATCCGTTATTATTTGAGGCAGATAGTTAAATAAAATGCAGGATCGCTTAGGTACTCTAAATTTCTCCACTATGAGTAGGGCTACGATGAACTGGGGAAGGTGTCTTGCCGACCCAGGTCTGACGTATATATCGAGGGTTAACTATGACATCTAACTATCCACCAATCAAAGCTTGGTATTCTCGAATATCCTGATTGTTGTAACTAGCGAGTGACTAGATAGCACTAACTAAGGGACTACATGCAGCCTATGGCCGCGGAAAGCCTGAGGAATAAAGTAAAGTAAAGTCACACGGGTGAGACAGGAGGTCATACGGAAAATGATAACACGAAGACGGTCAGGATGATCACTCAGATCTTGTACGGCTAATGGAGCAGGAAAGGTTTGCGTCCGGAAATAAAAAGATGAAGTAATATTCCGCAGTACGTGTTACAGTTATTTCCGAAATATCCTCTTGCAAACACTGACCTTCAAACCCTAAGCTAAGATGGTTCGTCGATAAACAGGAATTGAGAATGGTTTGGTAAGATCAGCATATGGCTCTTGGCTCAAGAATAAGGGCCTTGTTACAGAGAGACAACTGCCACAGCCACTGGCTTGTCTGCGCTTGAGACAAGTTGAAAACCATGATTATGGGCCTGATGCTAAGCCTCTCAGCTGGAGAGCAATATTGTTTGACTATTCATGCACCCAGATGGAGACACTCTATAATTAGCCTTATTCCGTAAAGTTGGGCCCAGCTTTTCTGGGTCCAGAGATTCTGTATGCAGATGGAGGTGCTATAGTTAGCCTTACTCCGTAAAGTTGGGCCCAGCTTTTCTGGGCCCAGAGATTCTGTATGCAGATGGAGGTGCTATAATTAGCCTTACTCCGTAAAGTTGGGCCCAGCTTTTCTGGGCCCAGAGATTCTGTATACAGATGGAGGTGCTATAATTAGCCTTATTCCGTAAAGTTGGGCCCAGCTTTTCTGGGCCCAGAGATTCTGTATACAGATGGAGGTGCTATAATTAGCCTTATTCCGTAAAGTTGGGCCCAGCTTTTCTGGGTCCAGAGATTCTGTATACAGATGAAGATACTATAATTAGCCTTATTCCGTAAAGTTGGGCCCAGAGATTCTGCATACAGATAAAGATACTATAATTAGTCTTATTCAGTAAAGCTGGGCTCAGCTTTTCTGCGTACAGAAATCATGCATGCCATTACAGGTGCTACAATACATATCTCCCGTGCCTCTTTGCAGCCCTTGAGCTGTTGCTATCTTATTTGCTTCTCGATGGAGCTAGCCCTCCCCTGCAGTAGCAACTCTGATCTCCGTCACCTCGCCTCGAATGTGATATAATTGTCACGCTACCTGTCTAGGACGTTTCGGACGTACTAAGGTATTAATTTCGGCCAAATAGACATCAGCCCCGATCGACATACAGTGTTTTGCACAACAGCTTGACAATCCCCAGCACACGGCGCTAAACCTAGAACAGTTAGAAACCACTCATAGCCAATAGACAAACATTATTCTGATGAGTAGGACATTTAGTTGCCGGCGCTCCGCCTTTTCATCAACGCAAGATGATTGATTTTGTCAGACTGAATGTGCAAACCACTGTAATAGTGAACCTGCATATCCCCTCTGAGGGAGAGGTCTGGGTAAATGAAGACATCCATCCACTGTAATAGAGTCGTTTTCTACTTCGGATGTAATATTCGTTTTACAGCACATATAATGAGCGGACAAATATAAAAGTCGAACATGCTTTCAAACATTTCCGCTTTCTTATCCGATTGGTGGTATGAAACCACAGGTCCCCATATAATTGTGACTCATTCAGGGCGATGGCCGAGGGCATTGAATCAGTCATCGTGCTGCGGCAAGGCGGCGGGTGATCAACGAGTGATCATGTGACCTTGATTAGTCATGACGAAAGCCTACTCGCATCTGCTCTATTAAAACTGGTTCTCCCGCCGAACTTCCCTCAAGCAATTACTATCTCCTAGTTCCATCTGAGACTCCGAAAGAAAATGGGACAGTTAAGCGACGTGAAAATATCTCGATGTGATTAGTTTCCGTTGCTAACCAAGAAGTTAGGCATGGCATCCTCTGTTCGAGACGAATCCGTTCGCAAACGCCCAAGATTAGAAGCCCCGGAAAGCCCTCCAAAGATTAACTTCAAATCCCTTCCTACGGAAATCCGATTTATGATCTGGGAACATACATGGCCTGCAGTACAGGTTGTCGAAGCTGCACGCCGGGGGGTGTTTGATGACGAAGAATTCTATGATTTCATGATATTTCGTCCTGTTGGCTCACTTGATACACTCCTGCGGACGAATTTCACTTCGAGACCCTTAGAGACACTGTCTCCATTAGAGAAATGCCCATTCCCAATCGCTCTCCACATATGTCAAGAATCCCGCATGCATACGCTTAATACATATGCCTTGGTCCAACATCCAGATTTTCCAGAATGCGCTTTCTACTTTAATCCCCGTCAAGACCTTCTCTGGTTAAGTTGCGATATCGCAAGCGACACTGAAGCCCTTGAGGAGCTACAAGCTTCTTACCAGACTTCCATTGATCAATTCAGGATTCTTCTTGTTGAAGATACAGAATGGGAGGAGTGGGGTTTGAACCCATCTTCTGCCCCAGCCCTATCAATCCTAGCTGCCCTGCGGACTGTCGTGCTCATAGAGGATGACTATGACGATGACGGTACACTAATTACGTATCGTACTGAGGAATACCAGGAGCGTGCTACCAAATACCAAAATGATTATGATACGTTATGCGAGTCCATGGAACCCGGCACGTCATATCGTCTTGAGTATATAGATCGTGGCGGAAATTCTTACCTCGGTACATATATTCCTTACAGAATGATTGATGCCCAGGCGTAAGCCAAAGCCTAATACCTTGCGAGTCATCCCGGACTCAGTGGCTGCACCTCATACATAAGCCAACAAACTTTCTTCACTGTAGACCAGACTCGATGTCCCTTGTTCAAAGCAGACGAAATTTCAATTACAAATATTCAGGACAACAAAATAAATACAACTATAAACGTTCATCCTCTCTTCGCCATTTTGGAAGACTGGCTTTGCTCTGTGTGATCCCGGAGGCGTTCTGCAATAGATCCCGTGCTTTCCAATACCAGTCGATCCACCGTGGAGCAATCATTGTCATCTTGGCTTCAGACATCCACACGAGATACCGAGGTTGGCCATTGAGATTGATCTGATGATCAATGATCGGGTTGTCTAGGTAAGGGATCTTGATTTTGTCATCCTCTTTGGTTGCGCCTGAACAACAATCTATCACGTTAGTCGGTTCATCTTCACCTTTGTTTGTTTATCAAACTCACTCTCACCAGATTCAACCGGTCGCAATCCATGATCATGGACTCCATTTTCTGGTGAGTCATCGCCGATGACGATTTCGGGCATGATCACTTGTGGATTCATGGGAGGTCCATGATTGCAAGGTGTCGTCTTGTTGTCTTGATCTGTCCCGACGTCTAAAATCAGCGGAATATCGTCGTATTCTGGTTCCGGTCCTCGGTCTGCATAATATATGTCGTCTTGAACCAGACCACCAGAAGTCAGGGACACAGAATCGTTAGGGAAAGATAACCAATCATCCATCCACGAGCTATCATATTCCTCGGAATCAGATAAACCCGAATTGCTCCAACTTTCCATGGCTGATCAATCGAAGAAGGAAATATTGTCGTTAGGTATAGATGAAATTGTATTCAGACTCTCAAAGTGAATCGACACACCTTTTATGCTCCCTCTACTCCTGTCCACGGACATCTGAGCCACATACCCTCGAGCGCGCCTGCCTCCCCCGCTTTGCTCGGTGATGCAATCCCTCGTGTCGATGGTCGGGCGATAGGCTGTTATTCGACTGTGTCTGCCTTGATGATGTGGCGGAAGCAAGAATGGGTTAGAGAAGAAGACAATAGTTTTCAATCTACTGGTCATCGCGCACTGAATGTGGTATCCCGTGGCTCAGTATAGTCACCTTCTGGTCACACGCATATCATTTCATGCGTCTTGCTCTATGCGAGGTTCGTAAGACCAGAAGCTCGGCTTGGTCTATGGCGGATAAATGGTGCCTTGCGATGGTCAGTTGACGTTTGATGACTAGGCATGACAATGTATTGGTTGTCATTAATGATATCCACGGTCGATTGATCTCCGAGGCATCAGCTTTGACATGTATTGCGGACATAATGAGGACCGAGAGTTATATTTGCGTATTTCCGCAGACATTTTCTCTCACCGTTAACATTTGATCACGATGAATTCAATAAAACAGAAAACCAGGTTATCAAATGGCCGAATCTTAACGCCATTATTCAAGCATTTTCGAAATTATAATATCTCATTCTTCCAAGAATCCAGACCAACGTCAGTCAACACTATCTTCGACGATATTGGGAGTTTACTCGTTACAGTATTAGTGAGTGAGATACAGCTATATAATTGGCTGTAGATATTGCTTAGATTTTGAAATTGTGGGGCCGTCGGTAAAAAGGCGCCGCTTCTCCCACCATCGGCAACGTCATGGCCTGCCACGATTTTCTTCTCCCTGGGGCCCTTTACTCCTCATGGGAAAGGAATCCATACGACCTGCCACGATTTTCTACTCCCTGTGGCCTGCTTCTCCGTATGGGATAAAACTCCATGCGAAACACCACGATTTTCTACTCCCTGTGGCCTGCGTCTCCGTATGGGATAGAAATCCACACGGCTCGCCACGATTTTCTGCTCCCTGTGGCCTGCGTCTCCGTATGGGATAGATATCCACACGACCTGCGACGATTTTCTTCTCCCTGAGGCCTTTTACTCCGCATGGGAAAGGTATCCACGCGACCTGCCACGATTTTCTTCTCCCAGTGGCCTGCTTTCCCGTATGGAACGAGATTTCATGCGGAGAACCACGATTTTCTGACCCCCTAGTTCACGGACCAGAGAAGCATAAAGTTTGGCTATTATCTTGTATTCTCTTCTTGGGGCTTCACCGCACATGACCATGAACAATAGACAACTAAAAGCCAACCTAAAAGCATCTAGAGTAGATCAAGACTCCTGTGTATCTAGAGGCCCAAAGAATGAAAAAAGACAAGAGAGGCAACGCCGAGACCGCCGCGGTCAAACTCTCATCAAAAAAGCCTATGAAATCAGCCAGCTCAGCAATGCCGACGTGTTCCTTGGTATTAGGTTTCGTGATACCGGGAAAATGAAGACTTTCTGTGCTGATAGCACCGGTGTTTGGTCTTTATATGTCTTACAGCTGGTATGGTATTAAAACTTGTATATTCCAAAGTTAACAAAACCAGGATTCGTTTTATCCTATTCCTGAGAAGAAGACGCCAAATGATTTTATTCCAAGCACGAAAGGGAAAGCTTAGTCGGAAAGTAACACTAGTTTGCCCATCTAAAGGAAAGACAGACCCTTTGGCGGAAAATGGGGTTCCGTTAAGCTAATATACCGGAGCGGTCTCCTTAGATGATAATTCTCTGTAGTACACCTGCTTACCGCGCACCTATAAACGAGAATATCATAAAGCATAATTAGTCTATACTGTATTCACTACATGATCGAGGTGTATCATAATAAACCTGTAAATTGCGATCCATCCTGAGTCATTCCCGTTTAGACTATTTACGGATTAGTGTTACTCCTTAGCGGAAAATGGAATGCCGCTAAAGCTGACTTAAGAAGTGGCACAAGAGGCCTTTACTATTTCCCCGAGATTTACGATGTTTAATTTTCATTCAGTACGGATCTTTCCCATGGAAAGGTTCCTCCTAGTTCTATATTAATGTGGCTCTAGCCCTCGAATATTATAGGAGTAATCCTTAGGATCTAATGCCAAGAGTGCTCCTCGGACATGTATAATAGTGATCTTTATGGAAATTGAAGCTGGATTTCTAGGAATTAGTGATAAATTCTCAAATATCGACATTGCATTCTCAGAAACTCAACCTATATACGCAGGAACTGTATGTAAATTTCTGATAATGCACCCTCCGTTCGTAGGATCATAATGTTTCTAAAAATTACGGAGGAATTCCCAGTGTTGAATATCCCGGTGGCTGTGCGTGTGGCTGATGATATTGGGATGTGGTCTGTGCATGTGTGTATAAAAACAGTCCACCTACCCCTCATAATAAGATAATAAGAATAATACATACTTCAACACCCAGAACTCGGCATTGCATTCTCAGAAACACAACTTATCTTCGCAGGAATGTCGGGTCAGTTTCTAAGAACACACCCTCCGTTCACAAGATCAACTGTAGTGTTTCTTGAGGTTGGAATCAGGTGTTCGTGAAGAGCACAATACTTTCAGGCCGGCCTTTAATTGGCCACCATGCTAAGGCTGGAAGCCCAGCACTACCATAGGATAAGGGAAGGCCCTCGATAGAAAATAAAGTTAGGCCTAAACTTTATTGTGAATCAGGTACTTACTTCATCGACTGCCCGTTAGTTCCGCTAGATGGCTGTGGCAGGAGCAATAAGGAAGTGCCCGAAATACTCTAAGGATAGAGTTGGTAGGGCGTGAATATTTTGATTCCTATGTTTAGGGGGGATCGCGTAGACCCTATTCTCACAGAGCCTACGACCCACATCTAGGCAACCGCGTAACTTCCTCCAATTATATAACAGCTGGTCAAAAATGATACACACCTCTAATAATATCATCTATGGGTTTAACAGCCGTTTTCATGCGGAATTAAACACCGCCCCTTGATTTCAGTATGTACAATAAAACAATATTGTTGATTTATTCATTTTTGAAGTCGTGATTGTTCTTAGCGGCCTTTGTTAAAGTTATGATTTCAGGGATTTTGGAAGGTAGCCGTTGACCCCACTATGTTAACCGCCGTTTACGGTTTTTCTTTTTCTTGTCACTGTTATTTTCAACTTCTGACCATCATAATACTCAACACTCATCTTTTAATATAATTTACCGTGCATCCTAACCTTTGCTTACATGTTTCATCGTTTGGCCATCCTTGATAAAGCGTTGTAGTAAACACGAGCGCCCCACCGACTACAATCATCTACCTTCTGAACTGACCTTTACTACAACTACAAGAGAGTTGAACCGCCATACAAGAAAGGTGTTGTAAATTATACCAGTTTAATTCATAACGTATTTAAAGTGGTGGAAAAAAACTAAACACTGAGGTTTTTGATTGGCATTTGTCGATTATTATAGAGATGGCAGTTTATGATATGCCCTCCGAGATAGAAACCAGTCAACGCTCATATATCGATCGAATTCTAACTGGGCAAACATCCTAACCTTAATGCAGCGCTAATTAAAATTTCTGTGAGGAGCTAAGAGGATATCTCAATCAGATAATGAATCGTGTAATAGATATTAGGCTATCTGAGAGTTAATACTCAGGTTTGGTAGCAAGACAATCTATCTGGATAAATGTATCGATATGAGTAGGACCTCGGTATATCACGTGATCTGTATCACGTGTGCTGCTCGGGTGCTGCTCGGGTTAATATTGTGACAGGATGTGACGGAATTACTCGTCTGTAGAGGGGGATCGCGTAGACCCTATTTTCACGGAGCTTACGACCCACATCTAGGCAACCGCGTAGCTTCCTCCAATGATATAACAGCTGGTTAAAAATATGAACACCTCTGATAAATCACCTGCGAGTTCGACAGGCGTTTACATGCCTAATTAATCACCGCCCCTTGATTTCAGCGATATACAATCAAACAATATTGTTGATTTATTCATTCTTAGAGTCGTGATTGTTCATGAAGGCCAGGTGTTAAAGCTGCCCAGCTATGATATCAGGGAGGTGCTTTTGGAGGGGTAGTGGTGACCCCAAGGCGATGGATATGTTAACCATCGTTTACAGTGTTTCTTTTACCTATTGTTATTTTCAACTTCTGACCATCTTAATGCTCAACACTCATCTTTTGATATAATTTACCGTGCAATAATCCTAAACTATTGCTTGCATTTTTCATGGTTTGGCCGTCGTTCGAAATCCTTGATGAAAAAAGGGTTGCAGCAAACACGAGTCGCCCCACCGACTCTAAAGGGTAAAGCCACCACCTGTGATGAGGACTACGGTAATCTTAATAAATTTCAGCATTAATCATTATTTCCATTGTGAGACTAACCGCTCTCCCAGCTGTTCACAAAGGCTCCATTCCATATTGGTAGTGCATTTTTTAATTGTTTGATGTCTAAATGAGTACCAACAGCTGTCGCTACTGACACATGTCCCACCAAAGAGGTGTCTACACATTCTTATTAATTGTATGGCCCATCAATAAATTACAATGATAGATTTCGTGTTTCACACGGTACAAGATGCCTCATTATTTTCAATCCTTGGAGGGTTGGTAGAGATTGGTAAGAGGTAGTAGGATGAGAGAGGCGCTCGTCGCCACGGTTGGTTTACAGTATGGACTAGTGGCTCCGCTGCGGAAGCGTTACTGTATATAGTTAGTACAGAGCTCCTGGAGAGTCAATATCTCTATGTATGGACTGTAGTATATAGAAATTAGAACTGTAAGCAAGGACCATTTTACATGTAATACCGCGAAGAATAGTTTATTTGCGAATCAATAATTGGCATCCTGATATACACTTTCCAAGCTCAAACTGATCCCAGTTATCCGCGGTGTCTGGTAAGGGGAGCCCAAGTCATAATGTGGTCTGGATAGTGAATCATGGGAAGGCAGCCGACCTCTGCCAATGATCCTATGTGTATTCGCTTCCCAGGATGGTGATTCTAGGATGTCAATTCCAGCACAGAATGGCTCCGGGGTTCACGATACCCGGAGCAATGTGTTTCTAGTCGACGCATCTTGGGATCACAGCCAACCCATCTTAAAGATCCTACATACAATCGCTTCCCCGAATGACCATCCTGGGAAACCATTCCTGGCTCAAATTAATTCCGGGGTTTACTATCTAGGGAGAGATCTGTTCCTGGAAAGCCTTTCCTTTACTAGTTGGCCGCATGGGATGTAGTTTACAGGTCTGGAGGGAGGTCCTACGTTGTCCGATTCAATTTATTTGCTCTATTATCGTGCTCGCTTCCGGCTTCACGCAAGTAGTCGTTAGGGCCTATGTGTTAGAGAACCAAATCCGCGTATATATTGTTGAATCTTCACATCCCTCGCCTTGCCTCAGCCCCTGTTGCAAAGGGGCTGAATGCTGCATAGGCACTCTAGCAGTTAAGGAGTCAAGGAAGCTGGCAAGGCCGTTGCCATATCTTTAGCCATTCTTAGTGCAAACAGTAGCTTGTATGCCGTTCATGGTATACTGAGCGCCTGGGAATTTTCTGGTTAAATATGTGTAGTTTTTGATACTTTGGTAGGTGGGATCGAAGAACCAATCAGGTTCACAATATTCCAGAATACTATGATGTCATCAGTAAAGTAAGTAAAGCATTCTAGAACTAGAACTGGTCTATTCTAATCCAGTCGTTGCCTGTGAGGTGAGGTCCCTCTTTGCAGCTCCGAAAACCTCAAAAATTCCGATTACGCTCCTCTATCCTTTTACGTACTATGCACATTTTTGGATTCAAGTGTATCCGATGCTTCGTCTAAATTGTCACTCATTGAGCCCGGAAAGTCGCCGAGGCTTTGCGAAATGTCTCAATTGTGTTTCGGCGGCCGAGACGGAGTGAAATGTAGTCTGCAGTACGTAAGTTCGTAGAGAGGAGAAACGCAGTGATAGTAATCAGGAGCGACTGGCTGACTGGCTGACCGGGAATAAGAGAGTAAAGGGCACGGACGAATAGGGATGGCGATGCAGATAAGTCGAGCGCAAATTATTAATGGGCACGGCCGTGGCTGGCGCCCGATGCGGACTAGCGGATGCGGCTCCCGCTGCCCCCCTCATAAAGTCGCGGTGCCCACTGCTAACCGTGCCATTACCTCCAATCACACTCACCCTCAAAACCACTGCGACAGCTACTTTACTTTCTTCCTCGTCTATACCCAACACAACTCACCAATAATCTATCACACCACTGCATTTATGGCATGGATCTGCACGTACATTGACAAATCACGCCGCCAACATAGTTACACCACTCATCTGCCGGGCACTTAACTGTGACCTGGGCCCCTCTCGACGCAATCCCTCTGCCCTCCGCGACACGTCGACCTGTCAATGGCTTACTTGCCCACGGACGCATTCCAATGCTTCACATATATCAGCGAGAACGTTCCGTCTTGGATCACACGAGTCACCGAATTGACTGCGCACACGGCTAAAAAGCACGCTGAATTCTCGGAGGAATACAAGAAGCTCGCCCTGACACAACAACCACAACGGCCGCGGAAGAACAGTTCCTTCCACTCAATCCGACCGGGGTCTGAACTGCGCGCAGATAGGGCGCTTTCTGGTCTCCGGAATTCGCAGATCACTCTCGCCGAGGTCACTAAGCCTTCATCGACAGGCTCAAAAGGAGATGAGGATGCCGCATCAGCGATATCAAGCGAAGGCGCCGGAGTCCTCCCACGCCAGCAGTTAATCATTTACTACGATGGCCACACACAAAAGGAGCTGGAGCAGGTTGGCCGAGATATTGGGGCTGCGCGGAATAGCCTTCGCAAGGGTAAGATGTCGCCAGCCATAGCAAGGGGAAGATGTCGCGAGCCATACGTCGACCTAACATCACCTCGGAATTGTTTTAGCAGCTGGTCCCCCGAGGCTCTTCACAGTCCACAGCTTGCAAACTACAACTCCATTCGAGTCCAGGCACAGCCGCCGCGGTCAACCCAAAAAGAGGACTCGTTTGATTTTACAGACAGACATTTAGCATCCGTACAAAGCCTGTGCGAGACGGCTGCGCATCGATTTATCCGCTGCGGAAACTGCTCCGCTCAACTGAAAACGATTCTGGCGAAATTTGACCTCGTTCTTGGGATGGCCAAGAATGAAGTCGACCGTCTCAATGCAGAGAAACAAGTCGACCCTGGCGACGAGACGGCTGAGCTCGAATTAATATCGCTGGCTGTATTGAAGCCGGTAGATGTTGCAGAAGACGGCATGGCCCCGGATCCTGGCTCGGCGGCCATCGAAGTCGACGACTCGCTCTCGGACTCATCAGTATCGATTGATATCACTGCATTTCGTTCAAGCCGATTCCGAACCTAGTACTCGGGAGATGCTGTAGAGACCGTAGCAAGTGGAATCCAGGTGGGGTCGGTTTCTTGCCGCTAATGAGATCAACTGTTTAAACGCCTACCAAGGCCACTCCACACGATAGTAGATATGGTCAAGAGTTGACGCACGCTGTGTTGTGGCAAAGATGCTATTGGACTTGTCGGTCGGAATTCTCAAACAATCCCACTGATAGTCGAACACCTTTCTACCAAGAAATTCAGCCCGTAGACCCTCTGGAAATAAAGATTCTTTTTCTTAGGCTTGACAATAATGTGTTCCACACTTGACTGCGGAAATATGAAGGGTTCCAACATGGATAGTCAAAAGAGTATCCCATGAACATTACATTTGACAGCGGTAATGATATGTATCCATTACTTTAAAACTGACGCCGTGGTTGGTCCACTATTGTAAAAGGGTTGTAAAATACATCTTAAACATGTGGGGCGCTCTAGTCACTGTATCATCACTTGAATGAGGAGGGGTTTATCACATATGTAACGTACTCAATAAACGACACCGGCTTCTGTAATTAATTCTGGCCTCATAGGGAGGTGGTCCCTAACATTGGACATGTATTCAACATCTCTATGAACAAATTTACTCTAACCAGCCTCAATTTTCATTCGTATAGTTAATATACTTAAACAGTTGGTTTAGAAAAACCATATCTTGTTGCCTAAATATGAGTCATAGGTCAGGGTCTACGGCATCCCCGAGAAATGGAATAAAAATTTTATTCGCGACCGTGGATTAGGCCATGATAAGATTGCCGTCTCCCCTGGCGTTATTACACCATTCTCAATTCCCGATTTTCGACGAGTCATCTCGTCTGGCCTCGAAGTTGAATACGAATGGTCTTCTGGGAAGGCTCCATGAACGTTCCTAAATTCCCAATCCCCATCCTTAGACGTACCATTCCTCTTATATGGACGTGCAGTACATGAGCATTGCCGGTTTATGGTGGTATTATCATGTGGGCGGTTAGCATATTATTGTTCTCCTGAACCTCCATAGATCATAAGGAGAGAATTACAAGGCTAATTTTCTAATATAATATTCTCATAATGGTTATCAGTCTGTGAGGTTCCTCACAAGAGGAAATTCGGGCTAGGAGGAGTCACCCGATTCGACACTCGTACCGGGAGAAATCACCACACATTCCAAACCTTCCGATCCGACCTTCCTACTGGTCAGAATATTCGGAAATATTAAGTCCTAATTGGTTGTCTTCAAATAACGTTATAGAGGATATCTTCATATATTTACAACATGACAGCTGCCAGACGACAGCTGCTATCGATTTCATGCGAGTTTGTCGGATCTACAGGCGCACTCGAAATATGATTCGTCAATTTTTTGTTGCTAACCATGCTGGTCGATGATTGGTCTGACAATGTCGGAGACTGCAACGCCCGCCACGACAGAGCAGGCTCCCCGAGCTGCATGGCGTGTGGTGCTATCCGTCGGTGTCTGTCTGGCTGGACGGGCTCTGTGGCCCTGGCCATGGAGCCAGCTGGGCTATGAGGTAGCGGCTGTGTCGATCTTGCCTTATGTGTTTGGCTGGCTGTCTGTGGCGATTAGGATGCTGTCTCCGTCCGTCCTGGGTTTGATGTCCGGCGCGTTGTCTACATCCTCCGGGCTTGTTGAGCCATATAGAGCGCTTCACATGGTCGGGTAGGATATGAGGCTATCAACCAATCTCCTATTGAGGGTGCGGATGCCCCACTATATCAAACATTTTTGGGGTGATTTACTGAGGGACATAATAATGGGCGATGCGTTGAGTTATGTGGCGGGTGACTATGATTGGGCATAATTAAAAATAGGACAGGCGAACGTTCAAAAGCTTTAGCGGCACCCCATTTTCCTCTAAGGAGTAGCGCTATCCTGTAAATAGTCTAGACTGGCGGCCGGGAGAATATTTCGGCTTGGAGGAGCTATGATATAGGGATAAAGCCGACATCAGCGGCAGTTCCATATCGAGAATTTTTCCTATCGAGCTATATCCCGTATAGAGAATGGTTTGATAGGGGAAAAGTTCGATATCGTAACCGGAACACGCTTTGCGCTTTTTCGCCTACTGTAACAAGCTTTTGCGCTAGTTGTTCCAAATATAGGTTTTACTAGCTGTGAAAAGCACGCCATAGCTAATAAGGCTAATAATGCTCCTGGTAATTGAATGTTGCAGACTACATACAGTTGATCGTGCCTTCTATACTCCGTACATGATGCTAGCGCCAACTGATCCACTCTTGTTAGACAAATCTAGGGACGCATCATTACTATGCCGGAAGTCGCTTTCTGACTGGGTCTATACCTTGCCTAATCAACACTGCCTTTTGATGCGATGGAACGGCGCTTATACATAGCCAATCGGACGTTCCCCATCTTCTAAAACACGACCAATGACTTAAGCTGTTCACCACATATGACGTTGGCCAATTAATGTGCTTCGTCAGGTAATGACTTCTGGCCGCCCAGACTAGGGTCATGCTCATATAAACAATATGAGATCCCAATCATCAAGAACAGCCAGAGGGTGAATGCAATTATTGCCAGTCTTTACCAAGCCCGGAAGAGCCGAAAATTGTGTTAACCCAACTGTCAACATCTGGGAGATAACCGACGGGCGGCAGGAAAGCGCTTTTTGAATAACAAAGGCGCCTTCCTACTCTAGCAGAAAGCGCTTTGTAGTAAAACCGCCATGTCAATATCAAGCTTTCTCAATGTTGAGAAATTCCAATACTGAAAGCTCCCCAACACTGAAAAACTTCCAATGGTGAAGTATTTCAATAAGGAGACCTGCCCAATATTGAAGAAGTGTCAACACTGAAACTATTCATTGTTGGGGGTCCCTCATCATTGAAGTATTCCAGTATTGAACTAAATCCATATTGAAAGCCCACCAATATCGAAAATCTCGCCGTATTGAAAGCTCACAATATTGAGCAAGACAAGGAAGAAGGATAGCATACTTTAACCACCCGCCAGTTTCCTCCTTACAGTGATAAGCCGACCAAAAGAACAGCTGATTGCATCAAAATGACAAAGAACGAATGCCATCTTAGTTCCCTTCAACACGCAAAGACTCAGAAACAAAAAAGACAAAGACGATATCAACGCGGGCAAACTCTCCTTAATAAAGCATATGAAATGAGTGATCTCTGCGACGCCGATGTGTTTCTTTGTATTAGATTTCGAGACACTGGTCGTATGAAGATATTTTACACAGATGAGACGAGCATTTGGTCCTCCTGCATATTACATCTGGTATGCCATTCCGTTCTGTTATTGGCGTAGCTAATCTGATTAGGAATCGTACTATCCTATTCCCGATTGGAAAACACCGAATGACTTTCATCTGGAAAGCAGCCCTAAAGACAATGATGCATCGAGTACGTCGTAAACGAATTGTGGAGGTCTTACAGGAAGCAGTGTGGGCACGAATCAGTGGCACCCTACGGAATATGCAGGGGGAATCGGGCATAATTGTATTTAAACATTTGATAGAATGCTTGTATTGGAAGCAAACATGTGTGAAGTGCAGGCCCAATGTCTATAAGTCATTATGTTTCCCCCGAGATCGTTTGGTTGAGTCGGAGCGTGTTGATCGCAATGACTCTTCAGGTGTGTCAGTTGCATTTGTGTTATCGAATGAGAAGTATGATTCCTTCGTGATAGATACTACTGATTCATTGTCCGATATCTCACAAACAGTGCTAAAGCTCGCATTGACAGCGGCCGAGTCAATCAGGTCACGGGTAGCTTGTTGGTTTGCTTTCTTGATTGCATCATCTCGCTGCTCTTTTGCCCAGTCTCTACCATTGCGATACCAAGTTGCTCCTTCCCGGAAGGCATCAGAATCACTTGTCATAGACCATCCTTTGATTTGGGTCATATGGTACTCCGACTGGTCTGACGTGGTTGATTTTGAGGGGTGGCTGGTGAACATTTGGAGTTGACCATTGTGATAGATCGACGTAAGGGTATAAGCATTGTTATTGAACTTAGGTTCACTCTGTTTATATGCCTGAAGTGACTGTATTCCCCTTGCTCCTAATGCGCCGTCATAACTTGCTTGTCGTCTGGCTACCGATGCGGACCCATCAGGACCTTTCGCTGCCAGGAAGAAATTTGGCGCAATTGGAAGATCATGCTGCGTGGATGGAACTATTTGACCATCTAGTTCATTTCGTATCTGGCGATTGAGTTGCTCAGGGCGTGCCCCGTAATATCGATCGGGGTTTCCCGGTACCAACGTTCCATCGGTGAGATGATCAAGGTTCCTAAAAGGGATCCCACCACCAATACACTTACTATCTGTATTTTTACCTTCAATGAAAGGGATCACATTTTCCGTAACCTGTCTCTCTTTAGAAGCGTCGGCATCCGCTTGGAGAAACTCTTCATAGTCTTCCTCTGCAAATCTGGACGGCGAAAGTGACGATCGAGGCTCCGCAAGCCTCTGAAGCATATCATCCCAGTTATCAGGCTTTGATGGCACGTGTCCGTTGGGGAATTTATAGCGGTGAGGAAATATCCCATGGTCGATAAGGTGTTGCTGAAAGTCACGATCATACGGACCGCTACTTTTGGTAGTCGATGGCTTGTTGCTCTGCGATGTACTCGATCCTCGCGAGGCGCTTGAACCTCTGGAAGTGCTGACGGTTCGTTTTTGAACCCGGTAATTTGGAAGGCGAGAACTCATGTTAGGGTCAGGACACTAAAACAGTCAGTCTGAATGTTATCCTTTGACGATCTTAAATACTTACACCACGCAGTTCTGATAAGTCTGGACCACCCTGGCGAGCAAATCTTCGAATGGAAATAGGTCTGAGGGGTCGAACTTGAGAGAGAACGCTTGTGGCCTGTTGGTTCCTTCGGTCAAGTTCCCGTAGTGCGTTTCGTGTTAACCAAACTTTCGACAAATTATCCCAAAATGGTGCCGGGAGTTGAGAGCCACTGGGATGGTCGACTTTCTGCTTCTTTTGAGCCCGTTTAGGTGATGCCGCGGGGGAGTGTTGATCCGAATGTTGTCGTTTGCGATGGTTTACTTGTCGTTTCGTATGCATCGGTCGATATTGATCGCGAAATCAACAGGTATCCGATTCTTCTAGGTTGATTAAATCGTGGGCGAGCATGCGCATTTATGCTGATGGTTGTCATGTTTCAATTTGAGGGGTGATATGAGTGCCTACAAATCAGGTCCTTGGCGGCGGCAGGTGAGTCACTTTTAAAACGTTAGTGTATTCAGTTGGGCAACTGACAACCAACCATCTATAATCGTATGCTCCTGCAACTTACAACTCCTACGCCTAAATTGCTCAGGCCGGGCTTAGAATAATAAACTTATCAAATTCAAGAGAGTGTGTTTTGTATCGAACGTTATTACAAGCTCAACTATTTACATAGGATGTCAGTGCTGATCGCGTTATTGTCCAGCCACAATATGCTAAGCCACAGACCCTCCAAGCCACTCGACTGGGTTAGTCATCCTTAACCCACGAGTTTTCCCTCTCCAGCTTTGCCTTTGATTCCTTTACTTCCATTTGTTTCGCAACCCATTCTTGGACACCACTTACAGCATCCACAGGCGAGTTCTTGTGCTTCACGAGGAATTTCAAGACTTCAGCTGGACTGAACTCTCCCACTGGCACGTGGGTAGCAAACTCCTCGGCCAATTTTTCAATCGTTACATCATTGACTTCCTTTTCTGGCTCAACTCCAGGTGTCTCTTTGAAGATGTTGCAGAAAAGTTGAACGACGATATCCTTGTCGGCGTGTTTGAATTGTACGGTCATATCGACACGGCCTGGCCGAATAAGGGCTTCATCCAGATGATCGACGTGATTCGTGCTCATGATAAGTATGCGACCCTCCTGCGACCCAACGCCGTCAATAACATTCAAGAGGCCGGATAGTGATACTCCGTATTGGGACACATCCTTCTGCTTTTGCTTTTGACCTGCACTGGTGTCTTTCCGTTTCATACCAACCGCATCCACATCCTCTAGGAGAACGATACAATGAGCCGGCAACTTAGAAAAGAGCTTGCCCAGCCCCTCGTCACTCAAGCCTGATGACAGGTTGAGAATATAAATGTCCAAGTCGTGTAGACCGGCGACGGAAAGGCAGAAGCTGGATTTCCCCGTTCCAGGAGGTCCGACCAAAAGGTATCCTCGTTTGTAAGCAATTCCGCGGGAAGTATACCACGCTAAAGTCTGTTGATCAAGGAACTCTTTCATATCGCCCAGAACCTCGCTTTTCACTTTCTCGTCCATTATGACGGTGGAAATATCTCTTGCGGATCTCAGACCAGTCCTTTTCCATTCACCGCCTTCAGGCTGAAAAACTGGCACTTTCCGCTCAATAAGGCTGAGATATTGCACGCGGCACTCTTCCATGAACTCAGTCAAAATGGCTGAAGATATACCAATGCACGAGATGGAAATTTCTTCATGGTGGTCTTTCACTCGACAGTGATATGTGAGCCGGTGATTCTTGAACCAGAAAGGGAAAGATCCATCCCAAGGGGAGTACGACAGAGGCTTTTTGCTCATAGAGTCGTCCTGGCAGAACATTTGTTGCTGGGTCCTTACGTGAGCCATCAAGGAAGCTGCTTCTCTAGCGAATGGTTGCTGCTGTACCCAGTTGGTGACCATCTCATATGTTTCATCATAGTACTTTATATGAATGGTTCTACCTATTGTCAGTCAGTAATGTGTCTGCATCCACCCCGAGAAAAAACGAACTCAAGTATTTGTTGATCACATCATTTGCATAGCTATACGCGTATCGAGCGAAGACTACGAAGACGGCCCCCATGCAAAGCAAGTGAACATATCCATTCACATCATGAGGAAGCAGCTGCTGTACAGAGGCATTCACAGCACTGAATCCGGGAAAGAAGACGTCCACAACCGACATTGGGGACGCCATTGGACGGAGTGGCAGGTAATCAACCCCGCTAAATGCATTCATTATGACAAAGAACTTGTGTCCTAATAGAAGTCGACGAGTGACGGTGAATCAATCCAATGGGAACTGAACAAATGAGAAACTATATTCTGATGCTCAAGGAATCAACATTCGATTCATCTCTATTTATACCCCAAACATGATCACTTCAGTCTTGATTGACGAAGCGAAAGCCTAATGCTACAGCGCTCGTCAAGGTCTCGACCCGTCTATTCTGCACCCTGAGGTGCATAAGAAGGTGCCGCAAGATGCGTGAAGATATTCGTAATTATCAAATGAGATTGTTGACCAAGATGGCCCTCTGTTCGATCCAAGGTTTACCAATATGAGCTTAAATGGAACATTACGGGACAGTGTGCCAGAGTATCTTTAATTGAGACTCAATGGGACCACATGACATAAGACAGTAACGAAACATTCGTAACCGTTTTGCCCTCAGTTTGAACCATGGAGGACAGAATGGGCCTTACTGAGACAAAATGCGACATTTATAATGCGGACCAGTCGCGAGAAGCTAAGCTACATCAGGTCTGACGCTTCTGACAGTGCATGACTAGTTTATCACTACTCTCCTTCGTTGTTAATTAGCGCAGGTTACTGTAGGCTGCTGTCATTGGTTAGGAAGCACTATCTCTTTTCCTCTACATTTCCCCTTAGCCAATGGTAGGGCAACTATACTAGTTCTTACTAGATTACAGCGAATGGGTTATTATTGACAAGCGTAGTTTCAATGAGACATAGTGGGACATTTTAGGCGCCTAGTATAGAGAGACTGGTTTTCGCAATATCACGAATGCTGAACGAAATGAGGTTACAAGGTTAGGTTACCAGTTAAGACTGATGGAGGTGGCATGGGAACGATGATACTCAAAATATAAATGAGGATCAATCATACGTCCTGGTCATTAGCTACAATATTTTCAACTCTACGCTATGATTTCCTGTATTCATCAACAGCACATTTTGATTTCTTCTATTCTCACTGCAAGTATGGCTCTGCTGAGAGCTGCAGTTGCAATCTTCAGGACGGTACTGACTTGGAGACATAATTCAACCACTCACAGATACACGTCAATAGATCTTTTGTTGTCGACTATTTTTCTCGTCCCTGTTTTCCTTGTCCCTATTCTTTGCAAAACCATGACTGAAGATTGGGTTTTCAATGGCATATCTATATTCCCTCTGTATTTTACGCTTTTGCTAATGCAAAGATAGGTCAACATGGGCAAGCATATTACATTCCTCTAGGGCTTTGTTTAGCATTCCCACCTAGTCTTGAGGTTTGTTGCTTTTTGCCCAGTATTGTTCTCTGTGCTGATTTTGGAGGTCAGTTTATCCATATCAGTACATTCCTCGTCGCATTTCCTAGCCGGTTGCAAAAATTCTGCCTAATCTATCCCATCATCTCATTCTCCTGGAAATGCCTTCTCTCAATGGCTGGGCCTTTCGTCAACTCTTATCTATTCCGTTCGAATATACTGTTTGAATTTATCGACTATACCATCGTTAGCGCCCTCTGGTTCTGGATCAGTGGTCGAGCTAGACGCCGAAAAGAGCTTCTATGGCAACTTTATGGTTTCTTGGTTTTATGCTGCATAATACTTGTTGCCACGGTTTCTTCCTTTCTCCTAGAGGTTGCATGGCCATTTTTATTTGAGGTAATGTTCATCACACTTTAATAATACGTGAAATTCTAAGAGAAATTTAGGCATGCACTATCATTACAATCATCTGGTCATGTAGACACTGGCGTAGACTGCCAAAAACACACGGCGGACCAAAAACATGATGCAGTTTACACAGAGCAGGACACCACAATGAATTATACTTTCACATTAGCACTTGGATTGAATTTTCAGGCTTTCACTGTATTTTTGAACGAAGCTTAGTATTCTTCAATGGAGTAGTTACAACTCTATATCCTTAATGGGTTTTGATACGAGCCAATGCACCGAAGTGGGGCTAGATAAATTTTAGTGCAATATGGTAGACATTGCGAATGGGACAAAATGGGACACGAGAAACGTGACTAGCCCGCCAATTGCAAAGTGGTATTCGCAAATGACGTAAATGGGACTGAATGGGACGAAAGGGAATGTTACTTGACTGGACCGTGGAGTATGCGCAGCAAAAGAATATGTTGCGCATGATCCCACCCAATGCAGCCTCCTTTTCAGCTTTTCAATAAATCCAAGAACGAAATAAATGAAGAATAAACCGATATGCTTCCTTATTTTTATGAAAATATTGACCAGGCTTTAACAAAAGAGCGATTGCGACTTCAAAATGCATTGATACCTAACAAGCCGTTTACAGGCCCAGTGATCACATGACAACGATTTCAAAGTGTCAGGAGGGGATATAAGCCCCACAGTATTTTCTCTAACCCCTCATCGTTTCTCAGAGGGCAAGAGCCAGAAGCGACGTTGTTGCTCGGATTGGAGAGGTACGCTTGTTTCGGTAGATTCGAGGAAAGAGGCTGACCATTCTCATCACATGTCTAGCTATTATCAATATCTACTGCGGTCTTCTAGTGTCATAGAACAAACAAAATCCCTTTTTGCACAATACGCGGGTCATGACCGAACCGGACGGGGCTGTATTCCACAAGGCGAATTCGCAAAATGATGAAGAATTAGAAGAAGAAGCAAAGTCTTTGTTGGTTAGGATCCTGGAGCCCTCACACTTAACCATCGCTTATTTATTGACAGGGCAGAGATGTGACTCTTGAGAAGGAATTCTTTGATGGAAAATATCTGGATTCAAATATCGCGCCCGCTGTGCTTATCTACGAAAACGCAGGCGAAGGAGTGATTCACTCTCGCGCTGCAGAAGGCAAAATTGATGTGCTCTCCACTGGCCCAAAGGCAGGAAATAGATTCAGGATTCTCGTTTTGACAAATGGCCGGACCTGCCTTGTTTTTAGAAATGTTTCATTGCGTCGCTTTATCTCTCGCGACTCCTGAACCTTGAAGTATCCAGAGATATTGAACGAACAGATAACTGAATTCCTTCGACACCTCGATATTGACGCGGAGTCCCGGAGGCAATACCAATTTGACATGTATATATGGAGGGGCTAAGTTGAATAGGGAGTAAGGAAGTTGCAGATTTGGCTCACTCATCCGAAGGAGGTTACAGATTGTTTGGAGGTGTGGATAGTCGCTCTGGTAGGCGCCAAGAAAGTTGATGAGCTGAGAAGAATGGAAGGGTATCGTTTCTTCGTCTATTGGATTTATGGCATAGTCTTGAAGTGTGGCTAATATTCGTCAGGACATTTTATGTATATTATAGTTAGAAAACAAACCTGATTCTGTAGAAAGCGTTATTTGAAGGCCAGAACCTCTTTCAGCTGCGCCATCCTCTAAAATTTATCTTAGCATGGGCAAACAAGAGAAAGAAATAGAAAAATGATACCATGCTCAATCCTCCCAAGAAGCGCTTGGGATTCAGCACCCTGGTTTTGCGGATGATGCGGCTCAGGGTTGTCAACCGTTCGTAATTCTTTTATACCATGTGTTCCAGTCGTTTTTCTGGAAGCCCTTGGACGCTTTCTCCCTGAAATTTTTTTCAGAAGCCTGGCTTTTACATGTTGATATTTTTTTATTACCTCGGTTATTAGGGAGCTTCCCTTCGTCTCTCTGAGTGTCTAAACCTTCAAGTAACTTGATCGCGTGAAACTCAAACTTCTGTGTGGGTGGGTTACTGTCCCACCAGCCTTCAAGTCGTGGAAAGAGCTCGGTGTGCTCTATCAAGGCTAGATCTGTGATAGGCGTTGTCACTGTAACAAGAACAAATAAAGCCTTGGCTATCGAATAGGCATTCTTTAGGTGTTGTTGGGCTTTCTTATGTCTGCTCAATGTTTGTCGAGATACGGTAGGATCGCCAATGTTATGTAGAAGACAATATGATGACTCCAGTCCTCTCTGACCGTTTACGTCAAGGTATGGGCTAACGTCCAAGATTTTTTTCTGGTGAGTCAATGACTCCATGAAGAGGTCAGCTCGTGACATTGTGAATATAATTCAAAAAGAAACGAGACAAAAGGTGAATAAAATGAGGCATGCTGGACGGACAAATCCTCTTTACGTTGGGAGCGGTCCGTGCAAACCAGGAAAAGTGGGCCTATGTTATATTAAACCCGCATTGACTGACTAGAGACAATTAATTACCGTAATGGCAGTGTAATGGGACATGATGCAACATTATATGAAAAAAGTGGGACAAGACGGGACAAGTTGGCAAGTTAGGTGGACGGCTTGATAGGATCGGTCCTGCTTTGTTCAAAGCATCCTTGTTCATCACATGTGAAAATATTGGGATACTGCATTTTTACTTCTTTCCTCGCTTTGCAGCTTATTCTGGGACGAATGGAGAACTATATGAGACTCACTGAGACCAAGTGACACACTTAGCAGTAGCGTGAGTGAGATAAGTCAGAGAGGATGATTGGCCTAATTGACAAGCCGCCTTCTATGCTTCAATGCATCGCTTGCCCTTCGGAGGCTCGCCAAATCAACCGTGCCAGCATAAAAAGCCCGACTTCCTCAGTCTTCCCTTGCCGGACCGGCAATTCACCGTAAAACTCCAGAATCCAAACTCTCGGGCTAAGGTGTGACCTTTCTTAAGTCTATCTGTGGTCGTGATCGTCACTATGTCGCAGTTACAACCGCCTCCTACTGGAAACAATGAATCAGATAGCGATGCATCGCTAGTGAAGGAAGAAGTATGTCCTGAATGTGGAAGAACTTTTTCAGGAGGAGGATTAAAAAGGCATTTACGATCTCATGATCCTAAACAACGAAATTTTCCTTGCGATATTGACGGTTGTAATCGAAAAGGCGCCCAGAGCTTTCGCAGAAGAGATAATCTATTTCAACACCAACGTCGCGTTCACGGAGGCTTATCACAAATGCAGCAACAGCAATTTCGACTTCGCGGTGCAAGTTTAGATCAATCATTGAGCGACCAGAACTTGCTATCCGACATTGAGAGAACAGATGGCGGGAGCGAACTCGATGATGTCGACATGGTCGAGGCCTCACAAAACCCAAATTCTGGCAAAGCTTTTACGACAGAACGAGGATCTGCGGTGGCTAACACTCTGCTACTGCCTTCAAGCCCAAGGCTGATTGTAACTGAATACGACGGGAAACGGGTTGACGCTGAGCAGGATGAGGACTTAGAGACGGACAGACGATTGAGAAGTTTAGAGATGCGAGTAGGACAGTTCGAAAAACGATTGAGGTCTTTGGAAAGTTGGGCGTTTCGTTCTCAAGATATTTCAAGATAGGCAAAATGGATATACTGGAAAAGGGCCATATCTGTTCTTCTTTCTTTATATCCGAACCGAGTATTCTGCTTAACTTGGGTTAGCGGCTACATACCTTCAGAATTTCGAAGTTACAACTTGACGTACACTATTAACATAATCCATGCTATGACTTTGTTTGCTTTTACACTAGTTGCAGAAAATCAATATCATTGGTGAGCCACACGTTACTTCTCCTACGACAAGAACGGGTTCGGAAAGTTTCCTCGATGGTTCTTGCGTGAATGATAGGTTTTAATCCTGAATGCTGCATGCTGCGAGGGACGAAGGCAGCTGAGCTGGGGCAGATTCGCAGCTGATCGGGAAGCACATACCACGGCATGTCTAGCTCCCTCTGTAGCGCTATGCAGCCATCTTGGAAAGGAAGTGCACTCAGCCTGATGTATGGTTAATTGTTCTATCTTATTACAAGCAAATGGCGGTTCTTCAACGAATCAGAATGAGCAGCACGCTAGGCAGCAGTCTCATAATGTCTGCCTAGAATCCAAGTAATTGCTATAAGACAATGAGACTACTCGGTGCGATGGAAATGGGACGAGGCTGAATCAGAGTGCGCCTGTTGAGTGTGTGTTAAGCGCCGGTATCAGCTTAGCTAGGCATGAGTATGTGCTGCGTAGACCTAATATTAGCCACTGAGCAAGGCAATGCAGCCTTGTCACCTGTAAACACCTTCGTTGCTGAGAAGCTTGCGCCAGGCTTGTGTTTCATATAGCGCGCATCTTAGAATATCATTAAGAGATATAAATATTAGGTGGGTTGATTTGGCTAAATGTATATATTTGGAAATATTTTGGTGAAGCAATCTGCAGGAACAAAATGGAACATAATAGAGTAAACAGAAGTAGATAAATAACGCGTGAACTAAGATCACCGCGGTACGACTTTTCTTCGTGATGCCGTTGACGTCAAGAGAAAGCCCAAATCCGAATAGTCCCGCCAACTCTCTTAATTGCTACATAATAATATAGTCCAGCGTCCGTCGTCGAATCGACGGATGTTGCATTTTACCCAAAAATAGCTTGTTTCAGCCTCGAAAAGTGCTTGTCAGGGGAAAAACCACTCGCAACAGCAATAGGCCAACAAGCGCTGGCTAATGTGAATTAGGCTAACGCAGGATTGGATGTTATCCTTGTAGATATTGGTTTTAAAACAGTTGAATGAGTCACAGCCCATTCCTGGCGGATAATGTACACAATCCATTCGTTACTTTAATTAGGCGGGCAACATATACATATCTGCGTGATGCTTTGCCAATCGAATTCACAATTTTAGCGCTTTCGTCTCTAGAAGAAGGTGATCCAGGGCCCTTTATTCGCACTTCGGTTTTGAATCGCATCTCTAGACGCCCGGCTGGCGGCTACCCAGATACCAATAACCGGCTGTCGACGGTCTCAATCTGACTTGTGTGAGGATTGAATGATGTAGTAGGTAGGCTTTTATTTAAAGGGACTGTGGTTTGCTGGCAATAGAGCCTGTTCTTCACCCCTCCAAAACCACCCATCTGTTACAGTCAATAAAAACCTACTCCACTGAGTAAGCTATGATCTCAAACTTACACAAGGAAAACACTGACTCTCTGATAACTAGATTTCTCCGATAAAATGAGCACTCAAGGAAGTAGCTCTGGCGCCCAAAGGGCTCGGGAGAGCTTTGCCTCCATTCTCAGCTATTATCAAAACCACGTTCCGAGCGAAGAAGCGCCCGAATTCGTGAAAAGGGCTTCCAGCGGCGAGATACAAATTGGGGTTGCGAAGGGAACTGTACCATCCGCGGAACAAGGTGAAGAGCTGAAAAAAGCTCTGAAACAAGCTATGGAAACTCAAGATGCTTTAACAAATCTCTCTGCCGTCGAGAAAGAGATCATGTCCCAGGCAGCAAATGCGAGTCTCCGGAAACGTTCTGGAGCGAAGTAGGAAAGCAAGTTGATCGCAAGTGTGATGCTTAGGAACTCGCAAATGTACAAAGAGTTTATAGTACAGTTTAGCTAGAACATTATGCCTAAGATATATTTCTACATATCAACCATCTCATCAACGCTTTGATGAGAAATCAATCTCCCTTCGGCTGCTTGCTGTATTTTGCTTTGGACAAAGTTCTCAAGGTTCATTCCTTCTTCCTCACTTAGGTGAGTTATCCGATCCTCAATTGTAGTAAATGGCCCGTAATATCTTTGGTCAATGAAAGTCCAGTAGATATCATCAAACATAGAACTGTGTCTTAAGGCAAGACAATCCCAGAACAATCCAGTTTCCATTGAGACCTCCATAGCGCCAGATAGGCGTTGCGAGTCCGATAGGGAGCCCTCAATGATTTTGCTTCTCTCGCACTCTCGAAGGGTATCAAGGAAAATGTGAAATCGAGGCATGTAACGCGCTAAAAACTGGTTTAGATCTGGCTCCCATTCCTCTGGACGTTCCAGTAACAGCCACCAAGGCGCAGTATAGGTGAACTCAGCCGGGGCAGCATATGTAAACTCCCAGTCGATAGCTCCGCTGACAGTAAGATTTGACGCGTCAACAAGGATATTCCCCGGTCTAAGATCATCGCAAAAGAGTCGGAAAGGGCCATCGCGATGTTCTTTGGGTATTTCCCGCGATATCTTACGGAATAAACAGCGGGCGATATATTTTTTCCTACAGTCTGCTTCGTCCTTGACTGCATCATTGCGTTGAAATTCTAGGTGGTAGAGGTGTTGCTTTGCGAGCTCCTCGAAATAGTCAGCCGTATTGGTGAATCGTTGCTTTGCAAATATACCAGGAGGGATATTGGAAAATTGAGCTAGCCGGTTCATATTAAACGTCACAGGTCTTTTATGCACATCCCATCCCCCAAACTCATCCTCTCTCAGGGCCCCAATAAATGGAAAAGCAGACTTTGACAGCTCTAGCATGATTTCGGCCATGCCATAGTATGCTCTCTTCAATGCAGAAATGGGTATTTTGGGGTTCAACGTAACCACCTCTTGAAGAGGGTCCTTAAGATAACCGGACAACAAATTCCCTTCAATGATAGTCATGACCATATATGGGCCCACAGCACACTTTCCGGAACCTATGACTTTCGGAACAGGTATAGGCGTGTTTTGAGCGAGATAATTCATCACTGCCACCTCATCCTCTACCTTTTCATTCCGCAAAAGAACGCGACCGAGGGCGGTAAACCGAACCAAGATACGGGATCCATCTTGGTAGGTGACTCGATAACACAAGTTGAATGCGCCATTCGAAAATCGAGAAGCTGTGGTTGGTGTGCCAGGCCAGTGCTTTGCCGCAAGCTTAGCAGCCAGTTCTTCCGGTGCATTTGAAATTAAGTTGCGTATCCATACTTGAAAGAGTCGCTCTGATTGTTCTTCCGCAAGGTGGTCGAAATCCATTTCTGAGAGTTGTTAGGGACCTGAGTTGGGTTGGAAATGGTTTTGGGAAAAGGAGGGTAGAGAATCTCTTTAGGAGTTCTGTTGCGCGGCTTTGTAGCTACTTGTTTTAATTGATCTAATCAATCGAAGTGACTCTCTAACGGCTGGAATCCAAAAATCCTAATTTTCATATTAGTTTCATCTTCTCAAGCGAAGAAGGATTTATGCTAGTATATGAAGGATTTCCTGCCCAAATACCTGAAACACTACAGTAGTTATCGACACATAATCACGTGACTAATCACCGGCTTATTTTTGGCCTACCGGTTCGTGACATTGGTTGCGGGCCATCCCTTATTTCGCGCCGTGGAGACGAGGCGGCGCTTCGTGGACATTCGTCATCCAATTAATACTCAACTAATCGACGAGCCAAGGCTTCATACAGCCTAGGACAGTGTTTCATCCCCTCATTATGGAGCTTCCCCTGCTGATAGGATGGCCTATTGCATAATCGAAATAATCGCCTTTCTTGGGTCGTAATCTCAACGATCAGCCTACCAAGACAAATCAACTACCTTTATTAGATGTCATTCAAAAAGAAAATTACGTTAACGCTTCAATCGGTCATTTGATGGCACCGCTGAACCGGGATCAACCACGATTTCGAGTCATTCTGCTAGCAAACGCTCGCGGAAATCAGGCGCTTTTTTGCTTTGTTGAAGAAAGGGATGACCCGCCAGTTCGCCTGCCGTTTTTCTCGCATCTGGATGCCAGACAATAAAATACGCCCCCTTTGATTCCTGCAGGATCCAATAAAACACTATTGTTTATTTATTCATTTTTGAAGTTGCTCATAATGGCCAACCAAAAAAATTACCGGGCTATGATTTAGGTGCTTTTCTCGAGGATAACCGTCTCCCTAGTTTGACGCCCAATCGTAGTCGCCCTCCTCGTAGCTAGACATCCGGCCGATTCATTGGGCCCTTCGTTAATCACTGTTTCCATTCCTGGAGGCATACCATTAGCTAATTATGATTAATTGAAAATGTTGCCGATGAAACTAGAATTAACAAACCAGTAATTGAACAGTTAGAGTTTTCTGCGTATGTATGTTTGTTGAGCCCTACGCACTTTAAGGTTCTTTGAACTATAGCGGGGGGAAAAACTTGTTTTAATTATCACTTTTTCATTGGCGATTTTGAACTACTACCAAACTATGTGAAGGTTTTAATTAGTGCTGCATTAAGGTTGGGATGTTTGCCCGATTGGAATTGGATCAGTGTTGACGGGTTTCTATCTCGCAAGGTATCTAGGTTATTCACATTGTGGGCCAGTCGGACTTTTTCCTTCTTGAAAATATCTGGCGATAAAGTCCAGAGAAAATATTTCTTTTCGGGAGGGTCAGCTCCGCAGGCTGTGAAGTGGGTGCTGGACGTACGCCTGAAGTGACTAGTCTGGGGGAGCTCTCTGTATCAGAATCTGCTCCTTGTAGAGATGACAGATCCTCAGGAATTTCCTCAGCTTGCCATGCTTCTAGAGTTGTGGCAGCCATAACGGTGTGTGGATGGGATGGTCCCAGTCGTTGCCTCTGAAGCTGAACACATGTTTCAAGCATTGATAAAGCTTCTGAATACTGACCAAGGTCCTTTAATGTATGGGATAAATTCCACATGCTGGTCAGTGTAGAGGGATGTTCTGGCCCCAGCACTGTATTTCTTATCTCCATCACTTGTACCTCCAGTTGTTCTGCTTCTGTCCACCGTCCTTGATTTGAGAATGTTGATGCCAGATTCGCCATGCTGGTCAGTGTGTCAGGATGCTCTGGCCCCAACACTGTCTTTCTTGTCTCCATCACTTGTATCTCCAGTTGTTCTGCTTCTGTCCACCGTCCTTGATTTGAGAATGTTGATGCCAGATTCGCCATGCTGGTCAGTGTGTTAGGATGCTCTGGCCCCAACACTGTCTTGGATGTCTCCATCACTTGCACCTCCAGCTGTTCTGCTTCTGTCCACCGTCCTTGATTTGAGAATGTTGATGCCAGATTCGCCATGCTGGTCAGTGTGTCAGGATGCTCTGGCCCCAACACTGTCTTTCTTGTCTCTATCACTTGCACATCCAGCTGTTCTGCTTCTGTCCACCGTCCTTGATCCCGGAACGTCGATGTCAGATTCGCCATGCTGGTCAGTGTAGAGGGATGCTCTGGCCCCAGCACTGTCTTGGATGTCTCCATCACTTGTACCTCCAGTTGTTCTGCTTCTGTCCACCGTCCTTGATTCCGGAACGTCGATGCCAGATTCGCCATGCTGGTCAGTGTGTTAGGATGCTCTGGCCCCAATACTGTCTTGGATATCTCCATCACTTGCACATTAGCTGTTGCTTTCTGTCCACCGTCCTTGATCCCGGAACGTCGATGCCAGGTTCGCCATGCTGGTCAGTGTGTCAGGATGCTCTGGCCCAATACTGTCTTGGATATCTCCATCACTTGCACATCAGCTGTTCTGCTTCTGTCCACCGTCCTTGATCCGGAACGTCGATGCCAGGTTCGCCATGCTGGTCAGTGTGTCAGGATGCTCTGGCCCAATACTGTCTTTCTTGTCTCCATTACTTGCACCTCCAGCTGTTCTGCTTCTGTCCACCGTCCTTGATTCCAGAATGTCAATGCCAGGTTCGCCATGCTGGTCAGTGTGTCAGGATGCTCTGGCCCCAATGTCTTGTCTCTATCACTTGCATCCAGCTGTTCTGCTTCTGTCCACCGTCCTTGATCCCGGAACGTCGATGCCAGGTTCGCCATGCTGGTCAGTGTGTCAGGATGCTCTGGCCCCAATACTGTCTTGGATATCTCCATTACTTGCATCTCCAGCTGTTCTGCTTCTGTCCACCGTCCTTGATTTCGGAATGTCAATGCCAGGTTCGCCATGCTGGTCAGTGTGTCAGGATGCTCTGGCCCCAGTACTATCTTTCTTGTCTCTATCACTTGCACCTCCAGCTGTTCTGCTTCTGTCCACCGTCCTTGATCCCGGAACGTCGATGCCAGATTTGCTATGCTGGTCAGTGTGTCAGGATGCTCTGGCCCCAGCACTGTCTTTTCTTTCTCTATCACTTGCACACCCAGCTGTTCTGCTTCTGTCCACCGTCCTTGATTCCAGAACGTCGATGCCAGGTTCGCCATGCTGGTCAGTGTGTCAGGATGCTCTGGCCCCAGTACTATCTTTCTTGTCTCTATCACTTGCACCTCCAGCTGTTCTGCTTCTGTCCACTGTCCTTGTTCCCGGAACGTCGATGCCATCCACACCTTACTGTGAAGCACATCATGATGATCTTCTGGAAGTTGTGTGCCCTTGGCTCGAAGAATTCTTTGAAAAAGAATTCCAGCATCGTGATATTTTCCATCACGATACAGACATTCTGCAACATTCTGTATAAAGTCACCCTGATCCTGAGTATCAATGGACAATTTCTGGTCTTGTAAAATGAACTGTGCATGAGGCATATATTCACGCCAGACGCGTCGATGTTCATGTGCGCTGGATGGGAAAACTTCACTGAGTCGTTTGACCGTATGACTGATCCATATCGTGAGTTTTTCTTGTGCTTTCAGCCAGTTTCGACTCGCCAGGTGAACCAGTCGGTGAAGATGGATGAATTGATCATGGTCTTCTCCTGTGATAAATGAATACGCCTTGAGAAGACCTAGAGCTTTTTGCTGCTGGATAATAGAAGTTGCTGGCGGAAGTAGTGACCGGGGAATGCTTCGTGGATGAACACAGGCCATAATAGAGAGATAGTCTGCTGCCAATGAGTTGGATTGCTGAATTTGATGAAAAGATATCAGCCATGTGGCCGCCACAGGATTCTGTACTCCGTGATATCGCCAATCATCCTCAAAGTCCTGGCTGAGTAGGTCCAGCAGGACATCTTCCTGCTCATGCAAAAGGCTCAAATACGATTCTAAGGGGATTCCGGTCTCGTTAATATAACTCGCTGCTTGCACGATGGCTAAAGGTAGGCCGCTCAGCTGACGGACAAGTTCGGTACCAATTTGATCGTGATGATTAACATCTTTCTGAGTAAGCGACGCGAGGAGAAGATTGGCTGCCATTTGATCATCCATCTCACCAATACTGATCACTTCGGGGCCAACGAGCAGGGTCGCGAGCTGCCGATTTCGCGTTGTGACAAGGATGAAGCCACAGTCACTGTGCGGCAGGAAAGACTTCAACCCAGAAGAGGAGCCAGATGACTTCCACATCTCCAGGTCATCCGCATTGTCGATGATCAGGAGCCAGGGACCTGCGTCCTTGGAGCTCAGATAAGTCTTCACTCGTGGCTTCACATCTGTCGGAGATACACCTTGGAGTCCCAGATGTTCGCTGATCTCGAAATATGCCTGCTCGATCGATTCGGTGTTCATCGCTGGAATCCAAAAGGTCGAGAATTCAGGATTGCTGGTCCGAAGCGCATAGGCTAGTTCTAATGCAATCTGAGTCTTTCCAGTTCCGCCCAAGCCGGCAATAGCTCTTTTCCGTGCACAACCTTTTTCGACGATAGCTTGTTTTAACTCCAGCACCAGATCCGCGCGTCCCAAAAATCGCGGATTGCGTGCAAAAGGAACCATCCAGGACGCACTTCGAGATGCTGGGTTCCTCCGAGATTGATTGACGGGCACGACAGAGAGCAGCACTTTGGAATAAGCGGCCGCGGTCAGCGCTGCATATCCTTGCCAGTGCTTGTTTTTATGTGAATCAGAGTAGTCACAGATGCCCCGAATAACCAGACACGGAATCTGGTTCATGATCCCAGCAGCCTCCATCTCAAAGCAGAGCATTCCGATATCTTTAGCGAGCCGATCTCGAATCTGTCCGTCCCTCATGACCTGGTTCCCAGACGCAATCACTCCATAATGGATCCGTGGTTGATTCGGCTGTCGTGGATTCCGGAGGAATAGTTGGCTCCGATCGCAGGAAACACAAGTTTCCTCGCCATCCCGATGGGTATATGCCGCATGAAAGAGTTGATCCGGTTCCATTGGCCGTGAACATCGGCTTGTTATCTCATTATTGGTGCCCAGTATATTCGATACCACGTCTACCATATTCGCGTTGTGGCCTTGTATCTCGCCGGCCTGTAGTCGAGCCATTGCGGTCAACAGAACCTGCGGAGGCGGACTCAGCATTCCGGTGCGATGGAAGCCGCCATTGACGGTCTTTCCATAGTCATACTGCTCCACCCCGCCCGAGCGCCCGGTCGGCTGGCTGACCACGACATCACCCAGCCGGATATCATGTCTTGCACTGGGAACTCCTCCCCCAATGCCGACGAGGATGGCGAAGCGAATCGAGGGAAACGAGGTTCGCATTTGGGCGACGACGGTCGCTGCTGAAGTTATACCGTACACCCCTGCTGGTAGGTGCGCCACGACAATATTATGATCGGCTATCTCACCAAGTTCATACGCGTTATCATCGCCCGGTGGTTGTTGAAGTGGAGGGTGTTTGGTGTCCAGCATGACTGTTGCAGTGGTTGCCTCCAGCGGCAACGCACACACCCAGGCAATGGTATAATCATCATGTGTCTTTCTTACGCTTGCCATTCTTGTTTATCTTTTGTCTGCATCAACATGATCTGGCTTTGATCGTCTCAAAGTGCACATCAGGCTACCCGGACTAGCCGACGTCGAAAGGAGGTACCCGATAAATGTACGACCTCTTGTTTGTTGAGGTGCTGAGTCGGCTGACTTCCATCAAAAATAGGTTGATGTTGCAAGGACTGTTGTGTATGGCGAAGAGGGCCATCTTTCACTGCTCTGTTTTCTCAGCCTTGTTCGATGGTGGCCCATGCTCTGACAGCCTTGTCCTTGTTGATGTCTGGCTCGGGCCGATAGAAATTCCGGGGCTCATATCCATCTAACTTCAATTGTATTATATAATTTATTTAGGAATCATTTAATCATACAATATTGAATATATTCGTCTTAATGTGCACTTCATGGTGCTAGATGCAGGCTAATGCTAGAGATGTGGAGATCCTTTAATGTATGATTCTTCTAGCATACGGGACGTAGTGGCAGCCATCAAAATAATCTTTGTCGATCAACACTCTGCCAAACAGTCTCGGAGGAAATATAATACTTAATAGACATCGTAAGATAATTGGGCCTGTACTTTACACATATCTGCTTCTAATAGAAAACTCCATCAACTGTTTAAATACAATTCATTGATCCGCATATTTCATAGAGTGCCACTGATTCGTGCTTATACTGCTTTCTGTAAGATCTCCACAATTCGCTCTCGACGCATCATTGTCTTTAGGGCCGCTTTTCAGATGAAAGTCATTCGGTGTTTTCCAATCAGGAATAGGATAGTACGATTCCTAATCAGATTAGCTACGCCAATAATAGAACGGAATGTCATATCAGCTGTGATATGCAGGAGGACCAAATGCCCGTCTCATCTGTGTAGCTTTCACTGCAGCAATTTCACAGTACCTATAATGCATTTCGCCCATAATTTGCCTTACTCTTCGTGAAACCTTGTCTGGCAAATTTCTCCGACTGATGCAAAAGGTATTGCTCTTTTTGAGGCGCCTCTCGGAGGATCTCCTCGAATGGCATAATAGCTTTTAATGCTCTTACCGAAACGATCCAAGAGACATGTGTGGCTTTATCCTCCTGCTTCTTAACAGGTTCCCAATGAAGCTGCACATTCGCTTCCTCGCTGTGTTGCGAAACTTTCATCTGATTCAGGGTTCCGGTAACCTGCGAATAGTCTAACCACAACTTCTCGAATGGCCCTCGAATTCCGTAAAGACGGTCGAAATCGTCGGAGAATCGAATCGTCCCAGCAAACAAGCCGAGAATGTCCCCCTGATTTACGGGTACAATAGGGCACACAGATAAATATCTATCATTTCTTGGGAAAAGAAACATAAAGATTGATTTGTTTCTACCACTTTCAGACATGATGTGCTGATCGGAGATACACCAAAATGGATCATCTGATGTAACTGTCGGGTTACATACAAGTCCAAATGCGGCTGCTTCCTCATCGAAGTGCCACTCATTGAACGCATTATTCCATGAGGCTTCTTTAATGCCCAGTCTTTCTGCCACAAACGGTTGCAAGAAATCGGATACACCGGTAAAATCTCCTGCGCTTAGCTTCATCATTCGAGTTTCCAGCTGCTCTAAGAGGGGCCCATAAACTTTTTCCCATGACATAACAACATCAGTCAAAGAAGCAGCCTCGTTGGCGAAACGTTTGCAGTAAGTGTCAAACTCATTCGTTCGGTATAGGAGAATCTTGCCAACACCAGCTTTGCGTATCTCAGATAGCTTCTTCCAGAGATTTCGACATCGCCGCTGATTCTCTGTTCCCGTGCCAAACCCTGCTTCCAGCATGAACACTTTCGTCGCAGCCTTTTCGGCCATGGTAAACCCATCTAAAGGTCCTTTGGATGCGGGCAACGTCGCAGGGTCGACCAACTTGGCTCCTTTGGAAATAATTTCCCAGTATACAGTCTCATTATATCGAGTCTGCATATCTTTACCGGCGGAGAACGCGTTGTCTCTTTTCACAATACGAACGGCCTCTTCATACTCGTGTTGTGCGATATCGTCCAGGTACTGCCTCATATTTTCGACTTTTGTCGTGGCCCAGATCTGCTTGGTATGTCGACCATATCTGCCAATAGTATTGTTCAGCTTCACGCAATTCCACAATATACTTGTCATGGTTTTGGCGGCTTCTGCAGGACACAACAAGGTCGGTAGGTGTGACAGTGCATCTCGAAGTAGGGGATCCGTTGGCAACAGCTGGTGGGTACAATCGGTGTTGGTGTCTAATGTGGGCATGGGTCGATCCACGGAAGGTGCCGGCCTTGTGCAAGTGGATGGCTCTGATGTGAGTTGAGGATTTCCTTTATCTCCATCTACTGGCGAGTTCGTGGATTTTTCAGGAATGGCTGTATCCGCCGTCGTTTCAATCAAAGGTTGATCGGTAGAGCCTATTTGATTCTTCGTCTTTTCTCCTGTTTCTGCACTGCTGCTATTAGCATCCGGTTTTTCTCCGGATTCACCAAGATATTTCGATTTTTTATTCGTCCTTTTCTTTCTCTTAGATGGAGTGGTCAGTCCTTTGAATCCATCTCGGCTTCGTTTCGAGTTACTTGAGAAAAACCGGTAGGACCCGCGTAATTCTTTCGGCGAACTGGGAGGCGTGTGGATTGCCGAAGCGTTATTCGGTCTAATGGAATCCTCAAACCCTTCAATTCCGTCCTCGAGCCGCGTCGTATGTACTAGGCCAAGGTGAGTACGGCGACCAGGCTCATCTCGGCATGCTTACCATAATTCGCAATACAATTAATGTGTTCCTGGATCGGCGCATCACCGCGATGACTGATTCCACAGAGCGCTAGAAGCTCTCGTATCTTTTGTGTTGCCAAATTTTGAACCACTTCCATCGTACCGTGACATATTTGTGGAAGGAAGGCGTGCCGGATGCTGTTCTCGTGACAATATGGATTACTTTTCGCTTCGGCACTTTCTAGAGCTTTCTACGTAACCAAACCGTCTTAGGACTGGTACGCACCACGTCTTATTATGACTGTCTTATTTCCCTTAAGTTGCATGTAATTCCTGGAATTCACTTTTATATAAAAGAATAACAGGATGTTATATGACTAGTGTAGAGTGTCCCTCAGGCCGCCAATGCAGGACGCCGTTAAGGCGCGGCCCAGGAGTGTTATACCGCAGCTTGCCCCACATGCCCACCTGAAGCCATAACGAACAGCCCGCTATGTTGCACAAGGAACTAAATGTACACGCGTCGCATGAATCTTGAAACGCTTCTGTCTATTCCATCTGAAGAACAAGGCGGAGCTTGTTCGGGATTACCTGGCGACCCGTCCAAAATCCCGTTCAGTATCATCCCCTGTCTGGCCACGTTTCTTGGCTGATGACGTCTCTCCACTCCCACCGGGGCCCCGCCCCGTGGAAGAAACACATCAATTAACTTGAGTGGCATCATATATTGTTATAATTTTGACTGAAATTTCGGTAGCGCTAATCATGTTGAAATCTTTGTTTACTTTGGGAGGATGGACAGCCGATAATTTCAGTGCTAGAGATTTCCGGGATTGAGCTTCAAAAATCCTCTTGACCCCAATGATGACAACGGAATACTAAATCACAGCATTCTCGACCATCGCTTCTAGGGAGTGCCCAATATACTTTCGGGAAAGCGTTGGGAGAATGCTATATTGCCAATCCGTTCTACACTTGTCGCTTTGACAATCGTTTTAGTTTACTGTATTGCACCTGCAACACCGATTTGCTCCGGTACGGATACTGTTCTGCAAATTTACCCTCAATTACATCCCAGCTCAGATTTTTCTCCCCTAGCTCGACAATCAATGCATTTTCCTCTGGAGAGTATCGAACCCTCGTTGTAGAATTTCCAGTTCGCTGAGTCGACTGAGAAGGCTTATCCTTATGTCTAGCGGCAAACAAAGACGAGAAATGAGTTTGCGAGAATTCTAAACAGTAGGTGATCTCGGATCCAGATTGCCGCAGTCTGAGAAAACCTTGGATAGGAATGGACTCAGTCTCTAGGCCGGAAATCCGTCGCGCTGGCTCACTTTGAGAAGTCTTAGCAGGTAGTCGCGTCAATCTCCGAGGTGGCGATGGATATTTGCTCCTCCTGCGGCGCTTTGAGGGGGGTAACTGTTCCTCGTCAACGTAGTCCGCATCGTCCTCGTCGTCTGACGGGACGGAGTCCGAATAGTTGCCGTCCTCGAGCATCGGGGTTCCGCGGACAGACTGGTTGCGAGTGGGTAACGATCGTTTGGAGGATGTGATAAGGCGATGAGATGGAGCTGGTATAACTACCGCTATAGGAGGAGGCGAACTTGAGGCACGTATTGACTGGCCGCTTTGCACGGTTGCCGATTCTTTAGATTCGCATGTTGTGCTATGCCTCGTGGCGAGAGAATCATCCTGCTGAACAATGCATCCATTATGCAAGCCGTTTTCAACACGAGAGTCGTGATGTTGACTGTCCTGGGCAACGCTCATGGGCGGATCTTTTAATGTTTGTCGTTCTAACTGTACGGGAGGCGGGCTTTGTGCTAATGATGCTGTGTCCAAATCGGTCGAATTAACGTTCGTGGCGACAGGTTTTGAGACGGGCGTTTCGAATGTCAAAGGGTTTGGCGTAGGACTAATACGGAACGTTGATGCGACATTCCTGGTCCGGTCCTCGACTTCTGTATCACCGCAGTTCCGCGGTCGCATGAGACCAGTACTTGTTGATTCTGTGAGCGATTCTCTGGTTGGTGTTGGCGACGTGGAGCTCGCTGTCGCTGTACTTGGAGAAATTTCGCTAGAGGGTGTTGTTGCGTGCGACTGACCGTCGTCATTGGTTTCTATGCTCCTATCAGCCAAGGCCCCGAACTAGTCACATCTGTAGAAACTCACCTCTGCCTGGGAGCTCGGCCGAATGCTCTCGTGACTCTCCCTTTTGGTCTTCAACCTTAATGCAAGCGCCTCCAGGTTCAGGCAGATCTTGCATCGCTCGGTCGAAATCGTTGGGATATACAGGATTATTTGAGAGAAGGAGGGTATTCACTGGCCATGACGGCTTACTTGAAGGGATGCTCACTGGAGGACGGGGGGGAAGTGGACAGTGCAAGGTCGGCTGTGGTGCTGAGGTAGGGAGGCAGTTTGCACGAGTGGGAGAGTTGGGATAGACACGGTTTGAGGCGTTAAGGGGAACCGGAGTCTGACAATCTGGAGGATATGTGCTCTTTGTGGGGCGTACAGGAAGGGAAGGGGGACGGTAGAAGTTGATGTTTTCCAAGCTTACAGCCATGACAGTGTAGAGAATAGCAGGATTCGGGGGAAATGTGTTGGGGGAGGTGGATTGGGACGTAAATCAAAGTATTCTCGATCTGGCATCCTGGAGAGCATTGGAGTTTATATACCTGTTTCCAGATGCAAACTCTGCAAATCCACGTATCTCCACTTCTGGAATCCCACCGTCCAGCAGACTCTTCTGACTGTCGACTCCAAGCGAGGATTGTTAATTGCATGATCGACCTCGTATACGGACCAGCCGACATCCAATTGATGGGCCTGAAGGCTTATCCCAAAATTGAGACATGATCCAGGTGACACGCTTCCAGCAGTCGATTCTCTTGAAAATCACCCTCGGGTCCCACAATTGAGGCAATGCCAACTGCAATACCAGCGGAAACTTCCATCCCATCCCGCTCCAAACCAAATTGATTCACGGGGGCTCTATCGCTAGACCAGGTTCGATTGGTTCGATTGGTTTTCCGGCAACAGCTCGACCTTCCGGTTCGTATTTTCCATGATTTTCGCTGGGACCAAGGGGTCATCCACCTTCAGCTGAGACATCGATGATGCGGGCATGGTGCCTGAAGCGTTGCGAGATTTTCTCTATTGGCTAACAACGTCAGAATTGTACGATTGTTGGTAACACTCGGGGATTGGCATCGGCTGAAATAGGGAAGATATCACCACCGTACCGTAGTGCAACCAATTGAGACAAAGGACGGAGTATTCACGAGCGCAGTTCACGCTGCAACGAGACCAGGATGGTCTATGCAATACCACGCAAGACTAGCTCAAAACGCACGCCGGACCACGCCACTGACTAGGTGTCACCAGACCAACAGATCCACATTCGTTCGCGTGCAGCTGGCGCCATGGAAACAGGCTCCACGCAGGAAATTAACGCGGGTAGAGCGGGAGCAGGGCAGAGTCGTGGCCAGTCTCGAGAGGCAAACGAAAGAGAGGACGGAGGACGAGCCCATAGGGGATCTGGACAATCGACAGAAGACCGGTTTCTAATGATTCGGGCCCGATTCTTTTTCCTTACTCCCATCAGACCTGTGGCCTGCATCGTAGAGCGCAAAACGCAAGCGTCTTTGTAGCGGTTTCGCGTCGTAATGTGCGCTGTCGCGAAAGCCCCGACGACGAGAACGGGTCGCCTATGAGCTATGTGGACCCTCCCAGGCGAGGGGACCAAAAGGGAGCAGCGAGGGCTGAGATCGGCGATGACCGCAGCGAGGCGGCCAGAGCGTGTCGCATGATTCTGGGAGCCGGGGCGAGGAGAATGTAGAGAGGAAGAGGATGGTTGACTTGGGGGGACGCACTCGCGGTTTATATAGCTGGTGCGCGGTGGGGCGCGGCCGTTAAAGCGGCGGGATGCCGCGCTAAGCTGCATTTGTACTGCCACGACCCGCGCTAGACGGGTTCGGGTCACCGATTTTTCCGCGCCGACCCGTGGTTGGCGGGACGCGGGTTTCGGCGCCCCGCTCACCGGCACAATGTATACTATAATAAAAATAAAGATTATAAGATAATAGATATCTTAAGATACAGCAGATAGATAATATTAAAGATTAATAATTGACTGATTAGACTAAGCAGATAAGCAGATAGATAGAGCTAGATATAGAATTAAGAATAAGATATAGCTTAAAAAGCTATAATAAGATTCTTATTGCTGAATAGCTTTTATTAGAATCATACTAAAATATAACTATGGTTATATTTAGTTAGACCAGGGGAATAGGTCAGCAGGTTGGACAGTTGAGCTGGCACCGTAACACAGGATCATATGATTTTTTAAAGCCTATTTAGATCTGATTCGGTTTAGATTTTCAGTTCAGTTTTATCTAAATATTTAAATATTAATAGATTACCATTAATAATATTAATAAAGTTAAAATTAACTCTAATTCTTTATAGTTTATATAAATTAAATAATCATTTCTAAAGCAGCGTTTAAAGAATTAAATTTTTATTTTTTTAAATTAGAACTTTATTTTAGATATTTTTATAAATATTATAATAAATTCTTAATATTTAGATTATAATCTAAGAATTATTTAGATAATAATAATATCTTTTCTATTTTTTATTTATATTTTTTAGATTATATTATATAGCTAATCTATCTATTAAAGAAAATATATATATATTTTTTTATATCTATTTTATAATATTTATTATTATTCTTTTTTTTCTTTAAATATTTTTAGAATTAATATTAGTTAAAATATAATAACTTTTAATATATTATAGATATTTTTAATAATATAAAATAAAATATTATTTTAAGATTACTTAAGAAATATATTAAATTTAATTAAATTTTATAGTAATATTAGATACTGTTTTAATATTATAATATATAGACTTATAGTATTAATAATTATTTTTTAAATATAGATTCTGATTGGTCTTAATGGAGAAATAAAGACTACTTTAAAGTAATCTCTAAATAATAATTAAATTATATTTAAAGCTAAACTGCTTTATATAGTTGAATATTTAAATATCTTAATATACATAATATAGTATATACTAAATATTTAGTGATAAAGCTATTTAAAAATTTGGTTTGCTCTGTGGTGATATACTATGATTAGCCTTAGTAAAGAAGCGGAGACTGTTTTAAGGTAATTTCTAAGCAAATAGAACAATGTCTAAGCTGAGCTATAGTTGAAATAGGTGTCTCAGCGTACTCAGCCAGGGTCCTACTAAGAATTTAGTGGTAAAGCCGCATTCAATTAAATAATATATTTTAAATATTTTATAATAGAATATCAAATCAATCTTTAAACTACTATATTATCTATCTTATTATAGATATTTAGCTTTTAATAAATTAATATACTTTTAGGCTATCATATATTCAATTTTTAAAAAAATTAAAATAAAAAAAAATTTTTCTTTTATTATAGTTATAGAATGTATAGATATCTTTATCATAGTATTATATATTTGTCTAATATTATTATTGTAACAGGGATAGACCCAGGGAGCATGTTCAAGCCTAATCCGGCAGGACCGGGGGGCCTCAGGGATACCCCGGGGTCAATTGTGATATATCACAATTGATACCATAAGATCCCCAGTATGATGCCAGTACCCCTCATCTCGCTATATATGCTTTTATCTAGTTAGATTAGATATTAATAAGCTAAGATAAAGACTCAGGCATATAGGCTTAGTTTCTTACCTAAAAGAAGAAAACTAAGCAATATCTTTTATATAATTTTTAATATAACTTTCAATATAAGCCTACTTAGCTTTGAATAGCCTTTAGCTCGAAGCCTTCCCAAACTATATAATCTAAACTGATAATTCTCTCCCTAGTACTAGTACTCTATAGCATCGATATCAATCAGTGAAGCTTCAACTCACCCACATCTAGTCTATCCAGACACCCCCGGACACGGTCCTGCCAGACCGTGTTACAATTATAATGATTGTTAGATATTTTATATAGTAGTATTAATAGCAGTGTTAGGCATTAAGAATAGAAATCAATTCTATTATTTTACCAGCTCTATGATGACTTCTAATTCATCATATAGAACTCAGTCCACCCCTTTGCCAAGACTTGTTAATGCGGAACCCCAGGGGAGGGGGTTGGGCCGGAATATATTTAGGTGATCGGTCAAGTGATGGTTGAATGAGTGCGAGGTATTTCATAAGAGAAAAAGCGTCCCGAAGTTCTTTATATATTATAAGCTTTATCCTTGGAATGGAGCGTGATCAGAAAAGAATCTTATTTGAAGATCCTCCGGCCTATGCTAAACATGGTGCGTCCAGGCCGGGCGGGCTTCTTCCTAACAATGACCTTGGTCCTGTTCAATTATTCTGGACTAACGAGGTCTACATAATATGGGTAGGAATAGTTTACGAGCGGATGCACGCATACGCAGCTGACTTAGTGCTTGACTAGCTATGTGCGCATGCACGCTGGCTTATATCTGAACATTTCCTGGCCTTGTGATTCGGGCAAACAAGTATATATCCAATCAAATTCTGTCAAACGGGAGCGGACGCGTATGAGAATCATTAGTCCGAGATAGGAAAGGTGGTAATCTTCTCTGGCGAAGTTCGATAAATTCTTATCGGGCTGGCACTGAGACATATTGGCCTGAGTGCGCATGTTATAGAATGAACTCCGGATATGCAGGTCTAGGGCTCGAACAGCCGAATATCGGAATGAAACTTCTCCGCCAGTTCTTTGATCTGCGCATAGATAAGCTAGGGTACAAAAATCACATTCAGGGGAGGAAGAAGTCTTACTGTCTTGTACTTTGCGATTGCCCCACCGATCGAACTATTGGTGATGGCTCGTCTGACAGCAGCCTGTCGATCGATACCACCTTGAGCCTTTTTCAATTGCCCTTTGACGAGCTCTAGGTCGCTAACCTGGTCATCAAATGCTTTGGCCAAAGTACCCATGGCCTTGATAGCGTCATCCATCTGGCTCAGTAACTTTGGCAGGTATGTGGCAAGCGCTTGAACAGACAAGCGGCAGGAGACAATATTGGCTTTCGCCTCCTCGGTCTCTCTCAGGGCTTTCAGGCTGTCGGCCAATTCCTTGTCCTCAGCCTTGAAGGTAAAATACCCCTTGACCCACCATATGACCCCCCCAAACTTATACAGTGCGTTCCTCCAGTATGTGAACCGGGTATGATCCTTCCCTGCTTCCTGGAGGGGTTGAGAATCGTGTCAGCCAACTTGGACTTGAATTATTGATCACACTTACCTCCTGATCATAGGCTTCCTCGTACCGTTCGTTTGCAGTATTTAATTTTTCTTCCATTCCCTTCAACTGACCACCTACAAAGTCCAAGACTGATTCGTACGAATTGCCTTCAACCAGCACCTTTTGAGAGTAGGTAGCGTCCAGATCTTTCGCCATACCTCTGTTTGAATCTGTTTCGGCTTTGAACTATCCCACATTCAGTTAGCATGACGTTTTGACTGCTATAGAAGGGTTCTTCACCTCTGTAACTTTCTGCTTGAGATCGGAAATACTTTGCTTGTGCTTTTCTGCTTGGATTTGCATTTCCCCAAGGGAGAAAATTGCAAGCTCCTTCGCGTCATTGAAGTCATTGTCCTCCTCCCCGGGTGTAACCTTGTCATACTTTGTATCAGTGAGGACTTTAAGTTGCTGTACCAGGCCGGACTCCTTGGATTCAAGGGCATCCAGTGCATTCTCGCAATAGCTACTGATTATTTTAGGGTAAAAAACTTTCACCCGTCAGCATCATTCCAGGGACTAACACGAAAAGCAGCACAACATACGTAAACCGTCTAGAGCTTCTTCTTTGAACTTGTGGCATGATTTGGACACCGAAGTGAGGGTCTTCCTCGTGTTCTGCATGGGCGATGAGCGGATATGGCTCCCATTTCGCGGATTGTTCGTTATCGTACCATGTAAAGTTTGGGCAAGACTTGTGTGATCACCTCGTATGTCGCCTCGGGCGTCTCCTTCTCAAATTCCCCGTTGGTTTGGGGATACTTTATGCCACTGGAGATATACGCCTGGATAGCTGGATAGGACAGAAGAGTTTCACTTAGCAATCAACGACTTCGAGATTATGCGGTCACCAATAGCATACCATACAAAGGCTCGATGGGCTGGGCTAGCTCGGCATCCTTGCCAAAGTTGCCATTAGCGACAAAGACAGCCACGTCTTCGACGAAGGCTTTCTCGAAAATCTTCTCGGGATCCTGAGGGAGATGCATGGCGAATTGATGCAGGAAAAACTGACAGGCAGAAAGCTGAGATCACAAAGCGATGCCGATGGTAAAAACTGAGACGGTTGTGGAGGGACTTGTGAGGTTTAAATGTTGTAGCAAGGTGATCCGGTGGTACACCCTGTCGGACACAGCTGCATTTTCATCTATCGATCATCGACACCAAGGTGTATCGCGAGCGGGGGAGATTCCAGCCGAGGAATTGTCATCAGATGCGAGGTTTGACATTCCCAGTCCCATCATAGCTTGCATATCACGGTAGCAAACTAGCATGGTGCTTTGTCTCCACAGTGACGTGACAGCCGCGATCGTCCCGCTCTGCATGCCTAGCTGGTGCCCATGAGAGGCTGGGGTTGTGGGGGCGCTAGGTCCATCTATATAATGAGATGATGGAATAGGAAGACTTCAGCGTAGCTTTAGCTGAGGCCTGGCCGTGTGTTCGTGCATGAAGGTGGACGTTGTGAAACCTTCGAATTTCCCAATCATAACCGATTTTTCAAATCAGAAAGCAAGGTAAGCGGTGATCGACCTGCAGCTGGATAAGCGATGTGGAGACTGCGTGTGGTGTTCACGCATTCTAATGCAGTATGACCATAGTTAGTCGTCATATTCAGCTGAGCCCTTACCATGTGTTCGTGCATGAAGGTGGACGTTGTGAAACCTTCGAATTTCCCAATCATAACCGATTTCTCAAATCAGAAAGCAAGGTAAGCGGTGATCGACCTGCAGCTGGATAAGCGATGTGGAGACTGCGTGTGGTGTTCACGCATTCTAATGCAGTATGACCACAGTTAGTCGTCATATTCAGCTGAGCCCTTACCATGTGTTCGTGCATGAAGGTGACGTTGTGAAACCTTCGAATTTCCCAATCATAACCGATTTCTCAAATCAGAAAGCAAGGTAAGCGGTGATCGACCTGCAGCTGGATGAGCGATGTCGAGACTGCGTGTGGTGTTCACGCATTCTAATGCAGTATGACCACAGTTAGTCGTCATATTCAGCCAAGCCACATTCAGCCTCGGATAAACTTCGAGGGTTTCCAAGTGATCATGGTTTATATATACTACCATTCAACAACGGCTCAGATATTCAACTCATTCTATTCAGATTGCAAGAATTGTCATCTTCCACAATGGACCCATACATTGAAATCGACCAGCCGGAGGGCAGTAAGCCATTGATCTCGCTCAAACTGTCGGCCTTGGGCTCTAGAGCCCACGCTCACAAATGTCCGTGAGAAGTGTTTAGTGTGAGTCTATCCTACAACGGCGAAAATGATAGAAAGGGAGTTGATGAGTGCCAACAGGCCTGCTAACTATGGGTTTACCGTAAACGAAAAAAACCCTGTTTCCGATGAGATTACCCTCAAAGAGTACATTTCTCTCACACACAGCTTTGTAAGGCTACTCGTTCCCCTACCCATCCTGCATAGGAGCTGATTCGTGTGTGTAGAATACCGATGAGGAAAACACTAGAGATCCTAGCCCAGGAACAACCGCAAACCCAGGTGAGACGGGAGATCAGGAAGTGCCCACAAACCGGGCTATTCGCATCAAGCTGCTCTCTCTCTCCAGAGCGAAAATAGAGGATGACACTCCTGCTAAAAAAGAAGAGAAAAAAAAGGAAAAGCTCGCCCAATCTACTTTGCAGAAGGATCTGAAGGAGCTTTTCAAGTCGATTGGCAAGTCTGGTGATCTGGGCAAACTAGAGGATGCAGCTAAATTGCTGGGCGATCTCACTTCTCTGAAGGAGAGCTATACCACCCAAGCCAGGTGTGTCTTATAGACTCTCCGGGGCAAAAGTTGCTTGTCTGGAAGCTAAT